GASCWSCGAGATCTACACTGGCAGGAACAGGAAGAAATGCGTGAGACCCACGACAAAGCTCTGACGAAGCTGCAAAAGGAGATTGATGCTCTTCAACAAGCAGGGCAAAGCAGGGCGAGCGAATCGGCGACAGAGGTGCAGAACATGAGGGACACCATTGAAAGCCTGAAGACCCAGCTCGATGCCAGCAATTCGACCACCACGAGCTTGAGAAAATTGATTGCAACGCATGAAGCGCGGATGGCTATGCTTGAGCAAGAGAGAGATGATCTGATCAAGAAGACTCATTTCCTCGAGGGTACTCAAGAGGCACAGAGTTCCGAGTTCTCTAACATGCAGGAGGAGTTGCAGAGCGCTGTTGCTCAAAGAGACGCCACCTTAGAAACTCTGCGGAAAGAAGAGATGCTGCGGCGTAAGCTCAATGCTATGATCTTGGAGCTGAGAGGTAACATCCGTGTCTTTGTTCGAACAAGGCCGTTGCTCAACGGCGAGGACGATCCTGCCAATGTGGAATATGTGGACGAAGACTCCCTCGACGGGTGCAAAGRGATGGTCGTGCACGCCAACCCCGAGAAGACTGCGACTGGGAAGCAGCGAAATGAGAAACACGCGTACTCTTTCGATCGTGTCTTCACGCCTGGCTCGAGCAATTCTTCGGTATTCGACGAATGTCAGGACCTGATCCAGTCCGTAGTMGATGGCTACAATGTCAGCATTTTATCGTACGGCCAGACCGGCAGTGGAAAGACGTACGGCATGTCTGGTCCGAGCGGCATCATTCCTTCTTCCATCAAGCTGCTCTTGACGGAAATGCAGCGTTTAAAGGAGAAGGGGTGGGAGTATGCGGTCGAAGCTTCGTTCGTTGAAGTATACAATGAGACTTTGAACGACCTCCTCGGTGACGCGAAGAAGTGGGATGAAGATGATAATCTTGGAGTCAGCACGCGTGGCAAAAAGAAGGAAAAGCACGAAATCCACCACGATGCCAACACCGGAAGGACGACCGTCACGAATCTCACTACTCAACGCCTATGGCCTCCTCCAACTGACGAGGGCAGCTGGCCTCCTCCTGCACCTGTTGAAGGCGGCGAAGATGTCACCACGATGCCTCCAGAAACCTACACTGAAAGGGCAGTCGCCAATCTATTGGAGACGGCTGCAAAGAACCGGAGAGTCGCGGCTACCAAAGCTAACGAGAGGAGTTCGAGAAGTCATAGCATCTTCATGTTGACGCTCAAGGGTTCCTGCGCAGCGACGGGTGAAAGCAGTGAGGGTGTACTTAACCTCGTGGATCTTGCGGGTAGTGAACGGTTGAAGCAGTCGGGCGCTGAGGGCAGTCGGATGAAGGAGACGCAGGCCATCAACAAGTCTCTGTCGAGTTTGGGCGATGTCATCGCCGCGCTGGGGAATAAAGGAGGCAACTCCGAAGCGCATGTTCCGTATCGGAACAGCAAGGTAAGTGCTTCCCGCTTTCACGGCGCTGGACGCCGACTTGGGAGTGCGAAGTGACAAGCTGACAATTCGCGTAGTTGACCTACCTCCTGCAATCCAGCCTGGGAGGCACCACCGCCGGCAAATCGAGCAGGACTCTGATGCTGTTACATTTGAGTCCTCTGCAGACGCATTGGCAAGAGAGTCGGAGCAGTTTGCTGTTTGGGAGCAAAGTTCACGGGACGCACATCGGGACTGCGAAGAAACGCTGATCTGATGATGGGGCAACGTTGTGTAAAACAGGACCAGAGCGCTGGGTGGTGTGAGGTGTTTGGGGGTTGTGGTTGTGGTTGTATTGAAGTTAGCCTGTCTGTTGATACCCTGATTCGATATGTTTTGATGATGACGGGATGGATGGAAATGATTTATCTGGATTGAATGATGAAGGGAAGAACTGAGAAATATGACTTCAGAAGGCTGAATATGCTGCGTGACGAGGTGAGTTCCTGTTTCTTTCAAAATTCCTACCATCACAGTCCCGCAAGCGCTACCAGTGGAATTGAAGTTCCTTCTTGCAACCGTTCATCACAACAAAGCTACTACGAAGGAGAGAATGACGACCAGCGTTCAGCTGTAGGACAGGCCTGCGCATCGGCATCTACAAGCCCGCATCGATCTCTTGGAAATGCTGGGGAGCTTTCAAGTTTAGACAAAAGCGAGGTCCTTCGTCCGCAGCGTGTCGCTGCGGACGTCTTGGCTGAAACAAGTTCATCACTGGCACAGCATGGTGTCACGGTGGTGTTGGAAGGTCATTGCTTGATGTCTACGTTGACCCTACAGGCACTTTCAAGACTCAGAACGAACATGCCGATGACTGCATATCTCTATTTGACATTAGGATCCAATGTTTTGACTGTGTTGATTCTACGAACTGACCGGCTTGGCTTCTCTCGAACATTCGATCGATCGACCAATGTGCAGACTCGCCGTAATTGGAGACGTCTTCCATGCTGGAATCCTCCGGCGCAGGGATATGTCAGGCATCAAGGTTCAACCTGAGCGAGGCTGTGTGTTGCAACTCCGAGCAGCTCATGCCTAGGGTAAGCCTTGGCATACCGGACGTACTGCGATCTTGTTAACCAAACACCAGACACAAGCGCCAAAAATACATTCACCTGACAGGATACATACCTTGCCAAGACGTAGACGACGTTGACATGAGCTTTGTTCTCAGCAAGCCGACCAACTAAGCCTGGTCATTTATGGCGAAGCTCAGGGGTACTACAGGTAGCCAAGTCCGACATCTCAGCAATGCCAATGGATGTGTATCGTCTACAACCAAGACACCAAGATGTCAGATTACTAGTTTGGGCTGACTTCTAACAAGTCTGCCGCTGGGAGGGGAAGTGAATAATTCACAGTGAGGGGTCTGCTATTGTTGCCGTTGCATATAAAGGCCGTCAAGTTGTGGTTCCTTCTCTCTTTTGTTTCATCATACTCCAGCAATATCCAACTCCTCAAYACTTCTTCGGCATCTTCAATCATATAAGAAATCCCAACCGCCTAAGCAATCCCAATCACTTGAAAGTCAACATGCGCTTCTTCTCTCTTGCTGCCGCCATCTTGGGCGTCGCAAGCATCGCCACCGCGATGCCGCTCAAGGATGGGCCGGGACCAGAGGGCAAGGCAGTCGATCCACTTGGAGCTGGTCCAGAACCACCTGCGCATCATGTCAATGGCAAACCGTAAGTTGAACTTCTATACGACGAACTTGTATCCTCGAAGTGAACGAACGACTGATCAGGAATGCGCAAAACAGCGAACCTCCGCCACCGGCGCCGAAGCCGAAGAACGACGGCCCAGCGCCCGTGGGCAAGAAAGAAAAGAAAGGTAAAAAGGGAAAGAAGAATAAGAATGGCGCTCCTCCACCTCCACCGCCACCACCTTCGGAGGAAAAGAAGGCCAAAAAGGGGTCGAAGGGCTCTCCTCCGCCGCCGCCACCATCCGAGAAAAAGAAGGCCAAGGATGGCACTCCTCCACCTCCACCGCCACCTCCCGAGGAAAAGAAGAAGGGCTCAAAGGGCTCTCCGCCGCCACCACCTCCCAACGGTCCCAACTAATCTCAAGAGATTCTGGGAAGGGTGCTCGTAAGGAACATGATTCCAGAGGAGCGCGAAAAATCTGATGGCGAAGACGTTGATCGCGACGACGTTAATCGTGAGGAGACACCTGGTGCTCACAGGGACCACAAAGGTTGATTAATGACAGCAATGGAGATGGATGCTCGAGTCTGCTTGCATGTGAATGAAGAGATGTCCTTGTCGAATTATGATGTTAATGAAATAATACTGCTGTCCTGAATGTAGTCTTAATCAGCTACCTAGGTGATTTCTGTTCTTAGATGTGGGTTCTGTGTCATTTTTTGGTCGCCCTCCTGAGTTTGGCATTGCAAAGTCGCCGCTGATTTTTCCGAAGTAAGGAGATCTCACTGTGTCTGGAGCTGCTTAAAGACAAGTAGGCAAGGGCCAGTGAAATCAAAGGTTGCCGGATCTCTTTGTAGTGAATCGACGACAGCGCTCGCTAACAGGTAGCTATAAGCACAGAAAGAAGCAGCGTTGCGGAGAGCCAAATGTCTTATGCAGTATGTCTTCTTGTTTGTGCTGTCATTGTTTTAGAGATCCGTGGATCTTGTAGTGCTATAAGTAGGGCTGCAATCTTCTTTATTTATCCGGGCCTTGGGGATACTCGGTGGAGTTTTGGAAAATTCCTAGTACCTATTCATCTCGAGAGCCCTGCATAATAATACTAATACAGACACCGGGAAGACTCATCTTAAAAGACCGCAATAAACGCCCATGACCCTTTTTCGAAACGTAGTGGCGTCGCTCATATCCTGTCGTAAATCGTTTCGTCACACCATAACCAAGCGCTCGACCTTTGGCATCAAATCCGCGACTCGGAACGGTTTGCTAATCGCATCATCTACTCCACACTCAATCGCATGCCGGACTTGCCCGTCGCGAGCATTGGCAGAGACTGCGATGATTGGTAGGCGACGCTCCAGGAGGCCTTCGGCTTCTGCCTCGCGAATCTTTTGTGTGCAGACTAGGCCGTTCATTACAGGCATTTCAATGTCCATTAGTACCTAGATCCAGTAACAAGGTCAGAGATTTGTCTATCATCTCGCAAGAAAGAGGAGAAAAATAGTGAAAACCTACAATCGAAAGATGGATCTGGCTGTCAGAATTGTCTCTCCAACCGGATGTGGTCTGCAGGAAATCCAGGGCTTCCAACCCGTTGGATACAACATGCACCTGGTGGCCCAGTTTCTGGAGTTGCATTCTCAGGACCTTCTGGTTGACCAGATTKTCCTCCACAACTAGAATGCAGAACTTGGGTCCACCCATCTCCAACGTTCGGCCCCTTGACGAGACTGCACTAGAGGCCCTTCGTTCCTCAACCTGCGATGGATGTGCGGTGCGAGCAGCGATGTAGAAGGCAAAAGTGGCGCCATGTCCAGACTGAGAGCTTACACCAATCTCTCCGCCTTGAAGTTCGATCATTTCGCGACTGATGAAAAGTCCAAGTCCTGAGCCGCCATACTTTGAGTGTGTGCGTGGCGAAGCTTGCGAAAATCGATCAAATATGCGAATCTTCTGCTCCTGATCGAACCCGCAGCCTGTATCACTGATGGTAAAGTGCAGGAAGATCTCCTCGCCGCTGCCTGAGACGGCATGAGACCGCTCCCTTGCAATCCCAGCGGGAACGAATTCGACATTCAAGTCCTGCTCAGATGGACGTTGTCGGGATACTCCGATGTTGATTGTGATGACGCGTTCCGACTCTTTCTGCGTGAATTTCACAGAGTTGGTGACGAGATTGATCAGCACTTGCATCAAACGTCCAGTGTCAAGCATCGCCCATTGCACGACGCCGAGATCATTGTTTAGTCGAAGTGTAATGTCAAACTTTTGTGCGTCTGCCTCGAACATTTTCTCAAGCTCTGAAAGCATGTTGTTCAGGTCGGTCAGTGAGGGTGCGATTGTCAGGAGTTTCGAATCAAGCTTCGATAAGTTGAGTATGTCGTCCACGATTCGACGCTGATGAGCGCAGCACGATATGATTGTGCTCACACTCTCGAGAGCAGCCTCGCAATGCTCTTCGAAAGCGCCCAAGTCCGGTGAGCATGTCGACGCGGCCACGACAGCCTTCATGTCTGACAAATTTGAGCTCACAAGATCGGCGCAGTGGACGACGGCTCCTAGCGGGTTCCTGTAGATGCTGTCAGCGCAGAACATGGAGCTTTACCACGCCGCGAGGCTGGACATATCTGCTCGCTTGTTTCACGCGGCTGCATTGAAGTTGATGTCTGGTACGCTATAGCAACGCAGGCTGATCACCACAGCGTACGTCTCCGAAACTGTCCTCAGGGGTACTTACCGTATTTCATGGCAAGTGATGTCTATGAAGGCTTCATGCTGTCTCTTGGCCTCGATCGCTTCGTCCGTCCTCTGCTTCTGCAGCTTTTCTGCCCATTTGAGATGCGTCACGTCTGTCAGAGTACCTGCAACGGCTACGACGGATCCGTCCTCACCTAACTCAGGATAAGAACAAGAGAGGACAGAAGCACGCATCTTATGGCCATGCCCGTCGTCCCAGATCCGGTTCAGCTCGAATTGAAACTTGGTGGGTTGCTTTGTTTGTATCATCGTTTCCCAATGGTGGCTCACGATTGCAAGATTTTCTTGGCTCATGAACGAGCTCCAATCTATCTCGTCAAAGTCCACCACAGGGTGGCCACTTAGGTCGAACCACTCTCGATTGCAGTAGTGCATCTACACGAAATCAGCTGCGGGAAACATGTTTCGCCAACACACGCTCGCACCTTGCGATCCATGCCGAAGTTGTAGAATGCAACGTTGGAGTGYTTGATGAAGTTTGCGAACCGCTTCTCGCTCGCCTGCGCACGCTCCAGAGCTTCGGCTCGCTTCACCGCGTCCATGTGGCTGCGCCGTTGAGCGGTGATATCTGTGATGCATCCACTGATCGTAGTAACGTTTCCTGCTGTGTCCGTGGTAGGCACACAAGCGGCACTTACCCAATGTCCTTCAGGCATGTCCTTTGGTTTGGATCCTATCCATCGCATGTCAAAGGTACACGACGTTCCCTCTGTGAGCTGATTCCAATATCCAAGGAGCTCCAGTCGATCCTCTTCAAAAACCCAGTTCGCCCAGGCCATTGGTACGTCGTTGTCGGCGGGGACACCTGAGATGGAGTGAAATGCCTCGTTGCCATATACGAGTACTCCTTCCTTGGTATATTCAAACATCCCTACATCTACCATTTCCATCATTTTCAGCAGATTGGACAGCTTCCCGGCGGCATCATTGCGACCTGCCTCTGCATCTTTCAACCTCCGGGTCAAATTCAAGGGATCTGTTTTGGGCGCTTCTCTTGACGCGGTTTGCCGTTTTTCTGCGTGCTTGGTCTGCTTTTCGGTATGAAGCCACTGAATGATCCGCCATCTCTTGTCTATCGTATACGCATATATCGAACCTTTGTCCGTATGCTCGACGTCCAGAACCCACGGTTGACATCCCGCAGGCAAGCTCGGGTTCAGGATGTCGTCCTCAAGTTGGCACTGTTCCTGCAAAGCACGATTTCTGTGTTGGATGCAGAGGCCGTCGGGGGAGGCGAGATCTATTACGCATGTCGGTCGCGGGTCTGCGTCAACGCAGTAGACAATTTTGTCCATGTGCAGTGCCGAATTCACAGGGGTGCGACACTGCGCATGTCAATGGCGGACGCAGCTCTGTCTGTCTGGGTCGCCCTGACGAAGGTGGCGRCCATGCGGCTCCGGACAGCGCTAAGATCTATCGACATCCTCTCCATTCCCCGGCATGTGCCCTGAAGATGATGCAGATGATGAATCCAAGCATAAAATGGCACAGGCAGTAGGCATTGATGGAGTCCACGGATGTTGGAACCTTGTCTTTCAACCATGCCAAATGGAGTCACTAGGCCGCACAGCGCAAGGATGTTTGATTATTATTGACTGCTGTATTGACGCCTCCACAAATGAAATGGGGATGTTGATAAATCACGAAGACAAGGTCTTTCATGAGCTGGAGAATGGCAATAAAGACCATGCAAGATCTTTCTTGGAAACTGAATGTTACAGATGAAAGCCAGCAGTCTGATATTCGATTCTCGTTCACGCATTTGCGACTTCTCCTTTCGTGAGTATACTAAGTATCTGGCAGCTTGACCTGCCTGACCTGTCTAAAGCCTGGTGTACAGCAGTAAAGACCTGTAGCGGACATGCTGATACAACTTTCGACGATTTATTGGTGCGCTGCTACGCCGCGGAGCTCGAGGCGCTTCCTCCTGTCCTTTGAGGTTCTATTGCCATGGGAGCGGTCGACGAATCTCCCGTTTGAGAATCTGCCCTTTTCTCCTGCTGCACAAGCACAGTGCATCCGATGCCGCACGTTCAAGGGCTGCCCTATGATTCGAGCTCGACACAGCAAACTACGAAGCCTTCTTTGCCGCATTTCTAACGCCAGGCGCGGTCGACTCGGAATTGCTCTGCTCCAGATCCGCTGCCCACAACGCGGCACCGCAAGTATTGGTGAAGGCAAATAATATACCAGCTACCGGAATCGTCTCGAGAAGCACGGCTGGGATTCCGAACAGCGTGTAAGGGCCCTTGCGCTCCTCAACCCACTTGTCCTGTTGAACTTTGTTCATACCCTTCAGCTGGAAGTAGCGAGCATGTGCTGTGGGGCCACGCTGACGTCCCTGAAGACCGACGAACATTGCCGTTCCGACGACCGGGATGAAGTTGAGCGGCAGGTACATGACGTAGCGGATGATGGCTGAAGGAGTGAACTTCTGGAACGGCTTGGAAGCGAGTTTGCCCAAACGTTGAACGGCATCTCCAAATCCGGAGGCCTTCACCTGACGCTCCTTCGAGACAAGAGCAGTCTGTCCGCGAGCTACCAGTGTACCGTCAAAGGTGTCAATCAACGAGTCCTCGATGAGCAGAGCCTTGGACAGCACCATCGTCAATGTGGATGATTCAGAGAGGACCAACAGAATGGTAGTGAGCGTTGCAAGAGGTCCGGAGGTGAAGAAGAGAATAGCCAGCTGGGGTAGGTAGGTGAAGGCGAACATGAAGGCTGTGATACCCATGCCGAGTCCGAGAGTGGGGACCATCTTGCTGAGTAGAGGCTTCCAGAGATCGCGATGAGCGAGGAAGTAGAAGATACCTGTCACAAGTGTTAGCCATTCGATGATGCTTGATGATCTTTGGTTTGTGAAATGTTGCACCTTTGAGAGGGTAGATGTATGAACCCGACATGACGCCAGCCCTGGCGATCTCTCTGGCCGCGATCAGCTCCTCTTGCGCCGTCTTCTTGATTCGGTCTGCCATCTTGGTGTGTGCTGTATTCCGATGTGTGGAGGATGAAAGATGGTCGAATGGAAGAAGTGTCGCTGTTTGGCGACAACAATGCGGTGATGATGACCTTCGGACGTCATCGTTCTAGATCCAATCCGTCTGGTGCCAACAAAATTGTGGGAGCTGGCTGAACCCTCCTCGACCATCTTCACACTACATGTTACTCTCCACCTCCTTCTCCTCCAGTACAAGACAATGCAGGTGAAGCGAATCTTTGGTGATCCCCAACGAAGACAATCACCATGAAGAATGACGATCTTCTCTGCAACCCAGCTAGGTCATGCACATGCCCCTCGACTTAGACCAAGAACCCTGCCGCGACTCCGCGACTCCGCACCGTTCGGAAGGATGCCCAGCTTCCATCCTGGTTCTCCAGAGCTCCAAGCAACAGATCCACGCATGCAAAAGAGGAGTTGTTTACACGTGAACACGAGAGCTGCATGATGCCTGAGCTCTTCTTTCCAATGCCATTTCTCTGTTTCTCATTCTCATTCTCACTCTTACGTCTCAATCTCTCATACACAAACCTCGACATCAAGCCCCCAAACTCCTCGTCCATTGGCATAGAATCCCAACCATGGCAACCGAAATGACACCCTCCTCTGGTCCAGACATGGCTGTTGACCCCGCTTCCGCACAAGGCGCTCAGATTCCTCTGCAGTCCTTCAACCTTCCTGACTTTCCTCCATCTGCATCAGGTTTACGAGCCTTGACCTTGACCAGCGACATCAAAGTCGACGAATACCAAGCTGAGCTTGACAAGCCGTATTCAATCCCAGAGCTTCCAAGCAGCATTGAGTCGCTCACACTCGAACTGTTCTCTCTGGGCTATCCAGCCGGCTTCCTGACAGCTCTCTCCGAGCGTCTGCCCAACCTGAAGAGTGTGGTCATATACTCGCAGCTGTTTGCTGGCATCTCAACGGAAAGTCAAAAAGATGCAGTGGCCTTCTTCAAGAACCTGCCAAACCTCAGGGCGTTGCATTTGCTGGATGTCTTTGCCAAAGCACATTTCTTCGAAGACGTCAGCAAATGGCTAAAGTACAACACGTCTGAAGTACCTGGCGAGGCGAGACGGGGTTTGATGTTTCTCGAAGTCAACTATACATTCCGACATGAGGATGAAGAGTTCATGGCCAAGATTCAGGCCACTGAACTTCCCATGCTCATCGGTCCGGGTCTGATCAGTTGTTCATTCAACTTGAGCGAACCTGAAAGTGCGGCAGACGATGAAGACGATCCAGCTACGATTCAGGGAGCTGGAGACAAGGAGGGCATCATGGCGTGAGTACTCCAATGCATGTCGATAGACTTCGATGCTGATGTGTTTCAGCTTCAACAAATCTCTCGCCACATATCTGGTCGACGCACTTACAGACGAAGAGAGCAGCCCGAAGGGCCTGAGAGCACTCAACACTGCCCTCTACACTTTGACGTCTGAGCAACTTGAAAGTATTCTGAAAGTGCAGAAGAACGTCATGGTTCTGCAGGTGACGGCCGAGGTGGAACCCGGAGAGAAGTACAAGAAATCACTGCTGCAAGCCATGGAGCCGTGCAAGTCTCTCGAGCAGATTGAAGTGGTGAGTCAGGAGGAAGGGCTGGAATCATTGCTCTTTGTTAGACATACTGACATGCTACACTTACAGTGCGCGAATCCCACATTGGAGTTCTTCGTTACGGTATGCTTTTGTCCATCATTCCTCCTCGCACAGCAGAAGAGTTCTCTGCATATACATCCTGTCCGCCCATCGTCATCATGCAACAAGCTAACATATCTTCCCTGTAAAGGTCCAGAATCCTCGAGCCGGCGTTCTAGGGAAGACCTTCCCGTCAGCGGACGATTTGGACGCCCTGTCGAAGACCAGCGAAAACTTGGCCAGCTTTAAAGCAAACGTTTTGCGAACCACCACTCTGGGAACCGTAGAATGGACGAAAAAAGATGGGAAGTGGCAAGGTGGGGTGCAGGAAGGGAAGGGCATGAAGAGCGTCAAAGCATAGAGTCTGGTTTGTCAAAAGAGGTCATCCTCGTCAAGAAACGGTGATGGTGTTCTTGCCCGCTCTAAAGCCTTCAGATCGATGGATGTCGGTGCCGTTTCTTTTGTGTAAGACAATCGCGTCGTTCTCGTTGCCTCGAGCGCTTTGAGTCGCTTGGCCACAACAGGTTCCTGCACCCCGTCCAAGCAGGACTTTATCTTTGCTAGCCGAATTTGCAGGTATCGTTCGGCCTCCTCATCTGCGAACATGGCGAGTTCATACTCCGGATCCAACATGATTTGAATTTGGCGTACGTGGTGACCAATTATCTCCTCAGTCGTCGATGTTCTGGAAGACAGCAAGAGGTCATCTTTGTCGACCTTGACGGTGCAGTTGATCGATCCATGCAGGTTTTGGTACGCTTCCGCCTCGAGCAGGATCAGCTGGAGCTGCTTCACCGTATTGAATGTTGGACTGTCGCCCTTGATATCCGTCACGATTTGCAAGGCAGTCGTGGCGCCGACCTTGCCCCGGATCGAGACTTTTGGGATGTTGCGGAGGCGACGCATTGGATGAAGGATGTCCGCCGTCCCAGGCCGCTCCTCAGATTGTACATCGTCCGAAATCGTGATGCAGAGGCTCTCCATCTTGTTTTGGTCCATCAGCGCTGAGGCGAGTCGCAGCAAGAACTTTCGCAATATCCTGTTCCCACTCCCATCTGATGGATCTGTAAGCTGCAGATCGGCTGTGACAAATTTGATATTGACATCCAGAGATCGTGCGCGGCAAAGAAAAGCTGGAAATTGTAGTCCGGAACACTCTGCATCTCCATACATACATCCATACTGGAAGTTGAAGAAGCAGTCATAGTGGTTCAATTCCTTGTTGTGTATGAATGCACTTGTCTCGGGATATACGTAGGATTCGAGCTTGGTGTACCGCGTCTTAAAGTCGCAACTGATTGTGTTCTCGGTGTAAAGCAGCTCCTCAGCTTCCTTATGAACCTGCCGACAAGTGCGGAGGATCTGTGGAAAGCAGAAACGGTGCTCTCGGCACCTATCAGCGGGAAAGGTGAGAAGTTCAATGTAAATGAGGTTGCGCATCTCGGCAGGGAGGTCGAGAAGGCGGAATGTGAGTGGCGAGCGGTCGGCTTTGGTGAGTGTGCGCACGTAGGTATACTTCATCGTAGTGCCCGATGGATATGGGTCAACGAGGCCGCGGTCAAGGATCATTCGCTTCAGCTCTCTCGGAGAGCACATTTCGTAGTCGACCGTCCATCCCTGGACAGCTCTTCTTGGGCCCAGTCCATCAGCKTAGAGACTGTCCCATCGGGTGGCATACATCCTCTCCTCGTTGCAATCGTCACAGCAACAGCCTTCGATACACTCATTGTCTTCCGTCTCATAGCACCACTTCTCGCAGAGGCATCTGCCACACTCGCAGTCTTCGATGCAGGAATCTTCGTCGCACCACGATTCACATTCTTCTTGCTCGAGAAAGCCGTCCGATGGCTTCGCACGCTTTGTCACCCCCAAGACGCAGAATCTGCATGGCGGTAGTTCAGATTCCGTCACCTCTGAGGTGTCCGACATGCTGGCACTGTTGTCTGGTAGTCTGGTGAAATGCACAGGTGAGGCCTGTTCTGGCGATGAACGGCTGGTTGTTTTGAGTCGAGTGAAGTTGAAAGAAGAAACAGCAGCCACCCTTTTCAGGCAGACGCCAAGTGTAACGCATCGCGCAAAGTGGAAGGTACGGCACTTTCCAGGAACGAGCGAAGCGGAAAGTGAGATTGACCTATAAAGAGAAGAAGAGGTACCTACGATGTTTCAAGAAACAGAACGCAACCAAGCCACTCACTCTTGCTCGATCATCGATGGTAAACTCACCGTTCATCCGTGAAATCGTCTCCTACGTACTAGGAATGGAATATTCGCGGCCCAGACTACAAGAGGCCCGAGGGAAGAAGGGCATTCAAAGGCGATAGTGAGAGCAAATCTCCTACAGCCAAAACCGGAACAAACCATACACGAACAAACGCAGAAATATCGAACGAGATCTGGCCCAGACCCCGCAGAGATACAAGTGAGACGCGCTGCCACTCTGCTCATTCTGATCAGCATACGTCTATAGTCATCCATATGAATCTGATTTAACGTACTGCGCGACTGGGGCTTGGAGGTGGATGCCGGGAAGAATCAGCTGAACAAGTATGCAACGATTTCAAAGAACGCTGAGCACACGGATGGGCCTTGGAGCTGGATCTATGACAGCTATGGGTACTAAAGAAGGAGGAACGTGTGTCGTATGCGCAGGCTCTAACACTMTTGGCGCATGTCTGCGCTTCTAGCGAACGAGGTGGGAAATCATCAATCTCTATAATGGCTCTAGGAAGTCGAGCCTTACACCCCTATTAATGTCAGCGATTGATAAACGTTGATCTGAAACAGTACTTACTACTATCTTCATTTTCATAGAGAAGGCTCAGAGTTCTCTTTTGCAATCTTCAGCGCGCCCTCGAAGTCCTTCCACTCCATCCGACCACCTCCACACTCCGTTGCGATTCCAAAAGCTGGAACAACCTTCTTCGCCGCTTCGATCATCTGTTGCGTGAGATCCGGTCTGTGCTCATGCACAAGACCCAAATACAGCTCTGTGTCATTCTTCTCCAGATATGGCACAAGGTCTTTGAGTGGCGCGAGATACGCATCGAGACCAACTTCCGGTCGCTCAAGAGCACTCTTTGGTACTGGGCAGTGAAACCAATTGATCTTGTGGGGTGAAGCCTCCATCACACTAATACCTCGATCGACCACAGCGGCAAGTGACGTGGGTTCATGCCAATGACGATGGTTCATGTCACCTTCCAGAAAAATTAGTCAATATCAAACGTGGAACAAGGCTTAATCACCGTAGCAGTTGTGAATTCCAAGCTCAACATCCTGAGCTACTTGCTCTGCCATATGTATGATGTGGCTCAAGCAGCGCTCCTTGACGTCCCCGTCCCACCAAGGCTTGAAGAAGTTGAGGCCAGAATCAGCCTTGATGTCCTTTGGATCGGTGATTGAAGTCTCCCAAAACGCCGTCTCCGCTGCAAGATCGATCTGGATGGCAAGATCTTCGTGTGGGATCTCGTCTTGAACTCTGCGCATTGCACGATGAAGTGCTTGCTCATACAGAGGCTCTACTCGGGGTAGGAAAGCTCGCTGGACAAAAGGCACGATTGTGCTAGTGATGGTCGGAAAGCATACTTGGAATCTTACGCCATTAGGAATGACTCCATCCTCTCTGAGTTTGCAAAACACAGCGTAGCTCTCGATAGCGGCATCGTCGTATCCAGTATTGATGCCAGCTTTTTCCAAAAGATCCATTCCTTCATCGATCTCCTCTGCGGTAAAGGGCTTGTCGTCAACAGGGGTGTTGTAAATATACTCTACCATCATTCTCGGGTATGCCGAGAACAATGGAGCTTGAAATGCGGTAAAGTAGTGGCGGCTCCCTGTCTCGCCATCTGGAATACGCTTCAATCGCGAAGGTACGGCCTCCAGACATTTGCGAAATACAGTCTTGGTGTCGGCCAGAKGTACGGACCCGACCAGATGGCATCCTCGTATACTTACCATTGTGCTGGAACGCGGGATTGATAGAAGGCGGGTAAGTGCAGGAAGAAAAATGAGAGAGTCAAGATGGTGCCATACGGTTGGGACTGATAGCTATCAAATGCAGCTATTTCATTGCGGCATTGGCGAATGGCAAAGGCTCGCCGAAGCTGTTGCGCAACTCAATGTGTGTTAGCAGTACGGGCCGGACAGCTAGGGATGCAGGATGCATGCAGGTCACAAGTCTGCATGTTGGCGAGGTGTGTCCTGAACTGGCCCAAGGATGTGGTCCGCTGTTCATCAGGCCAACAGAGAACAGCCAATTGCCCACTGGCATCTTTCTCGCAAGCTCTCGGACACTCTGAGCTAGTCCGTGGTTGATCGTATAGCCAAGTGTCGTCGTAGTCTTTGACAGTAGCTGCCGATGCCACCGGAAGCCTCGGAGATCCAAGATTGACGGTCACAACGCCAGGTTGGAGCGCAGCTACTAGCGTGAGGAGCTGGCATGGCTGGCCTCGCCATCTTGACAGTATCGGATGATAAGAAGCGGCAGCATGCACTAAAGCGCGTGCTCGAGGCGAGCTGATGTGTGGTGAATCAGAGATGTCGAGTGATTCAAGTCCCACTACGGGGCGATCCTCCCTTGTCCTCCCCGCCGGGAACTCCGTTTCCAACTTTTCCGAGTAAAGGAGCGGCCCTTCTCACCTCGTGGCCGTGAAGCTTTCTTCATTATTCCGCTCCAACAACCACACACACTCCCAAAAAGGATAATGCTGGAATCCACATATGGCTGTGACAATTGTGGTCAGCGATTATTGACGATGCAGACCTTCCAAAGCTGGCGACCGAGACGGAGTTACAACTCGCCGGCGCGATGACACGAAATGACATGCAGTATTGTGGGGTGGATGATGCCACCATCAATTTCCGTGCATACCACCTTTAACAAGCCAAGGATGAGATGTGCGCAAACTGTAAATCGAATGCCACGATCGATGCTTCACGACAAAGTCCGGAAATCCTGAATGAGCCCAGGCGTCATCTGTCTGCCATCATGCACACTCTTTGCGTCTCTGGCGGCCCGGAACCCTGCACCCGGCTTGGTCGCTCACATCTCGGTATGATCAGACAACGGGTCTACCCATGGCTTTGCATGTTGGATGCACGCCTTCTCGCTTGTCCAAGGTGACAAGAATTTTGGATCGAGAGTCCCTTTATGCCATGCCATGGAAGTGGTCTCCAGCTGCTTCTTTGCCGACAACATTGGCATTGGTTTACTCTGCTGTCAGAGCATGCCTCACAGCTCAAGCTACGCAGTGAGTAGGGTAATCCGGGACACTTCGGTGTCTCGGTCACATTTGTATCATTCTACGTGACCCCGATATCCAGGTTTTCGATGCGATGCAGAAACTCCATGGCAACTTTCGATAAAACCATTCGCAGGACGAACACTTGGAATGCACGTCTTGTTACGATTGTGTGCTCGAAGCGAGAGCCTTCTTCGCGTGCATGGCGTGCTTGATGTTGGATCCCCAACCTGCTCATTGGTTCCAATCAGAATACAACCCCGTTACACAGGCCGTGTTTGACAGACCCATTCTCTGATCATTGCGGCTTCTTTCAAATGCAGACTAGGGGTGGATGGTGTTGTGGTTATTCTCCGCGACCTGTATGGGCTTGCGAATACAATACGCACATCGCAGTCTACCGAATTAGTACTGCCAATCCTCGAGACCTGCGCGTAGCCAAGGAAGTGGTCTTTAGGGATGACGACGAGCTTCACCAATGGATGTGAGGGTGGTGTATACAGAAGCGACGTTGGTGTCATGGTTATATAGACCACAAGGGCGAGATGGAGTTCCGCTAAGTAGGTATCACGTGTAAGCACCCAATATCATCGGTCGGTGTGTCGGATGAAGCGATGCGCTAAGCCTAATACGGGGCTCACCTCGTCGGCACCTTGCTGCACTCTAGCTTCGTACATGTACTTCACAACTTCATCTTCTCGCTACAAACTCAAGGAGTACCACGAACCCGCTCATCCGCGAATCTATCGAGTCATCCTCAAGAGATGAAGTCCCATCGTAAGGTCTATACATGCATGATGAGCATGTTGAGGCAGATTGTAACCTCACACGGGCCGATGCGAACGCCATCTGAAAATCTTCAGATGGCGTGCTCACACGATTGATCCAATCGCGCGTGGAAGTCTTGCGTCTACAACATAGTTGGGACTCGCCTGTAATTTCGTAATACGTGGATCAAGAGCAATTTCTCTCGTAATTTTGATGCATGGCACGGTGTTGACAGACTCGGCAGAATGAGGCAATGCGGAACAAGATGAAGCAAAAGGGACAATGTCCCTCCGTAGATTTCCAGGCAGAYGCTCGCACCCCTCTCCTGTCCAACTCCTCGCAGCGAGATCTGAACATGTTTGGAAAATCCAGCAAGCAATCTTCTGCTGAAGTGAAGAGCACTTCAGATGCTGGTTCAAACAAACGCAATGAGGAAGGCGGCTCAGGTTAGAGCCTTGATCACGATATTGTGCCCCAACATGACTGCTGACATCATGTCCAGAATTCGACCAAGGCCATGTTGCCCAGCAGTCGAAACGACAGATCGGAGTTCTATCTGCATCGTTTTTGATCTTCAACAGAATGATCGGAACAGGAATCTTCGCTACTCCCAGTAGCATTCTGAGCCTCTCCGGCAGCGTGGGATTGGCATTGATCATGTGGGTCGCTGGTATGCTCATCGCCGCAGCCGGCATGGCAGTGTATCTGGAGTTTGGAACCGCGATCCCCAAAAACGGTGGGGAAAAGAATTATCTGGAGTTCGTGTATAGTCGTCCAAAGTTCCTGGCAACGGGCTTCTACGCGGGCTATGTCATTCTACTCGGATGGGCTGGATCGAATTCCGTCGTGTTTGGAGAGTACATCCTCAATGCCGCTCAGATTGAGGTGAATCGATGGAACCAGCGTGGAATTGGTCTTGCTTGCATAACGTCCGCTTTTTTGATCCATGGACTTGCTCTGAAGTGGGGTCTTAGGCTGCAGAATCTGTTGGGAATCATCAAATTGATCATCATCCTGATCATTGTGGTTTCTGGCTGGGTGCGTCGAATTTGCTCGCCCATGGCCTGGCAACCCTGCTAATCACCGCGTAGGCTGCTCTTAGTGGCGCACTGAAGATCGAAAAGCCTGATAACTTTACCAACGCTTTCGAAGGCACAACAGGCAGTGCATATGGCGTTGTCACTGCCCTGTACAACGTTATTTGGTCGTATATCGGCTACAGGTGAGTTCATCGCCATCGAGACGTACTCGCAAAGCTGACCGTCMTTAGCAACGCCAACTACGCCCTTTCCGAGACTCGCAATCCCGTCAAGACTCTCAAGATCGCCGCTCCATTGGCTCTTGGTAGCGTCTCTGTTCTCTACATGCTTGTTAACATAGCATACTTCGCTGCAGTCCCCAAAGAAGRGATTCTTTCATCCGGCCGTATCTTGGCGGCATCTTACTTTCGCAATGTGTTTGGAGGAGGCGCAGAGCGTGCATTATCCGTCTTCGTCGCTCTCTCAGCGTTCGGCAACGTCTTGAGCGTTATCTTCTCTCAGGGTCGACTCGTACAGGAACTGGGCCGTGAAGGGATTCTTCCGTTCTCCTCTTTCTGGGCGAGCAACAGACCCTGCAATGCTCCCCTCGCTGGTCTGTTCGAGCACTGGCTGGTGAGCGTCATCATCATGATGGGTCCACCTCCCGGAGATGCTTATAACTTCATCCTCAAGTGAGTTTCGCACAATGCAGCGGCTCATCAATAAGTACTGACCAGAATTCCAGCGTCATATCCTACCCCTTGGCAATCGTCAACAGCTTTGTGGCTTTGGGGTTGATATACCTTTATCTCAACAAGAAAGCTTGGGACTGGTCACCACCGTTCAAAGCAACGCTCCCCGTGGCGGTCTTCTTTTTCCTAAGCAACATCTACCTTGTTGTGGCACCATTTGTTCCTCCCACGGATGACAACAGCGTGTATGAGACATTGCCTTACTACCTACATTGTGTCGTGGGCTGGGCAGTAATCGCAGGCGGAGGCATCTACTGGTTAATCTGGGCTGTTATTGCTCCGAAAATTGGGAAGTATGAGCTTGTGCGGGAGGCATACGTAGACGAGATTGATGGATGGGAGTCGCACAGGTTCGTTCGTCGGCCTTTGGTGCGGTCGTAAATGATATAGATGATACAGATGATACAAATGTCTTCAGCTGAAGTTTAGCCGTTCTCGATCTGCCTCCTTGGCTGTCTTTCTCTCACTAGTCCGCCCGACTGTAGCACGTAGCAGTGATCTCAAGAATCCACGTCTAACATTGTGGCTAAGACTCCACTGTTTTGACTCGGCTCATACTAGTCTAACTCGAGCGTATGGTTGGCATCAATCATCTTGACACTGTTGTTTTCGGTAGATCACGCTGGAGCGATGGCAACTTGTCATGGCTTGCATTGCGGAAATGGATATCGCCTAATCAACCCCACGATCGTATTCTCCTTTGCGCAGAGATTTAGCGCTGAAAGGAGTGCAATATCGACCGCCCAATTGTCTTCTGGTACAACCTTCGTTGATGTTTTACAAAAACGTCTATGTCTCTTGAGCCACTCTGGCCCGAGTACTTCTCGCCGCCTCTCTTTGTTCCAAAGCAGCCGTCAAACCAATCGTGACCTGATCAGACGCGACCTGATCAGACCCAGCAGACGCTTCCTGGTCCCTTGGCTTGTTGGTATGCCATCCTTTGCCCGGGTCACTCCCAACCCGGTACCACAAGATCCTGTACCTCTCCGGCATCTCGCGCTTCATCTTCCAAGAGTAGCCCGTCATCATGAGGATCTCACGCGCTTTCAAGACTTGAGTCTCTGTTCTCGCCTGGAGCCATGCCATGAACCGGCCCTGATGTACACCTAAGAAACATTCGCTTCCCAGTATACAGGCCGACCAGGTGATGAGGCAATTGCCTGACTCTCGTCCTGTGTATCTTAGAGCCTCCAGCTGGCCCAAGCCTCCCTCTATTGCCTCCAGGGTATCGGGATGTGTTGGCTCGAGACCTCGAATTGCCCTGACAAAGTAAAGCTGGAGGGCATAGTAGAGTATCGCTCGCGGCCTCCCGTCGAAATCCTCCGCTTCGGTTTCCGCCTTGACAGGCCGATGCAGTGCCAATCTCCGCTCCAAATTCTCGATCGTCTCCGCGGGCGCTGCAACCCCTCCCGCATATATCGCATTCAGGTCGTGGAGAATGTCCAGCATCCCTACGGCCAATCCCGCCTGCTTTTCGAAGTAGCCTAATTGTCCGTTTGCAAAACTCATTTTCAGACATTCTACTTGTGCCTGGGGAACGACGTGTGAWATCGCAGCCGCAAAGAAGGCCTGCTCGGCAATCACCTTCACCACGCTATCCTGCGGATCTTGCTTTGCAGCAAGGACGAGACATCTCAATGCCGCCTGAGTATGGGCACGCACGGTATGTGCGTGACCGAAGAGATTCTCAACAACCGTGAGCACCATGATCGCTACGGCAAGTGTGAGATAGGCATCGGAGTTTTCCTCGACGGACAGGCGGAGATACTGGACGGCGATCCTTTCATGCTGGAGGGCCTGGGCGTGGTAAGCAGAGGAGTGACTTTTGAGGCTCGCAGCTGCTGCACTCAGTATGCCGTGCAAGATTGCGGCGCTCGCGTGTGAGCCGGCCTGGGGAGTTATTATGTTGCTGATTGCCATGGATGGGGCAACCATGGCGAACGCGCTGTGGATAAAGCCTCCTTCCGGGGTGAGCTGGGTGGTTACGAAGTGCTGGTACCGGTGAAGAAGAAGATGCTCGATTGGGTGGAGGTTTAAGGAAGAGAGCTCTGGTAGGATGAAGGGGTGTCTTTGGTGGCCGTGCGTTTGTGGTATGAGACTTCCCTTCAACGGACAGTCAGAAGACACATTATTTGGCTTCTTCGATACTCGACCGTCACGCGTTCTTCCAGTGGAGGACGGCGATCTCGATCTCGAGGGCAGTCGCATGGCCTGTTCCTCAGGAGGCCTCTGCGGCCCTGCCGCGGGGCCATGGGGGGAAACCAGCAGTGAGAATGGGCCCTTGTGCAGCGTCTTAGATGCAACGTCGATGTCGGCGAGATGGCCATCGATCTCGTCGTTGTTCAGGTGAAGGAGAAGATCCGGACGGCTGCTCGCAGGCATGTTCTGACGGGAGGATTGTACCCCTGAGTGTTGCGTCAGTCCGAGATACATGCATCATGCCATGCTCAGGGCCAACGGGTGACCTTCGTGATACGACCTACCTTCCGGAATATCGAAGCGAAATCCGTAGCCCTCGCATGTTAGACCAGAATTGTTGCATCCTATATCGACGTTTGCGTCAACAAAGTCTCTCTCTCGCCTGATCGGACAAGAGAGGCTGTACTCCTGCAGGTTGGCGCGCCCGAGTCACACTTCACGCGTCGTCGTCGACATGCTGCGGGGAATCGATATTAGCATTGCTACCCACGCCAAACGAGCTCGACAGTAGTGCATCACTCACTCCAACAGCCCCCGAAGCTGTGGGTACGGCTTTTGCTCGTCTGACCCATTCTTCTTTGACAGAGAAGCCAAGTCTGATCAAAGTCGCTTCATAGGACGTTACTGCGCTTTATGTCTTTGCCCCGCCTAGTCATTTAAATCTGGCAAACTCATTGCATACTCCCATGGTGAACGCACTTGACACGAAAGGCGGAACGTTAGGCGAAAGTGGATAATGTTGCACAGCGCGTATGCCTCCAAGCCATGTTGATCGGTGCCGTTCGGCCTTGTTAGGGCGACTTGCATACTGCCATGGAATGCTAGACAAGCCCGGTGTTTCTCGGAGGCTCCGCAAGTGCACTTCTGAGGCGTTGGTTCAACASGGAGAATCCTCGGTACACTCCACTGTGTCGTAGTGCAGGGTCCCTACCGCACCGGAAGACCTTCCTGGAAATCCCTGGAGATCATTTAGACTGCCGCTGCACGTTGGCGAGATCTAGTTCGCGATGAAGTCGCCCTACGCCGGGATACTCGGGCGGCGATGGCGGATGGAGGGGCCTCCGCTGCAGGAAGGCATGCCGATTCTGCGAAACCCAGGGCTCACATGTTGTCGAACGCCCAAGAATGATCGACAGTAAGGTAGGCATGGGTTGATTTCTTCTCAGCCTCAAGTTCCGAGGCATATAGCACAGCATGCAGTCGACGATGCGATCGAGAGAAGCAAGGAGTGACGAGTGGGAAGAGAAACACTTTACTGTATCCTGCGATGAACAATGTTTTAGCGGACAGGGAGCAACTTGTCTGTCAAGGGGTCATTCATTTCAAGCTGTTCGCGCTGTCCTTCAAGGGTTAGGGTTGGGGTAGTAGAGTATTTTACTTTTTTGCATGTGACAAGCCGAGTCGATGACAGCTACGCAGGTTGATATTGCGGTGGGTCTTGGGTATCACAGGAGAGTATTTGACTGGCTGTGGCGGACCAGAGTGCGGGTCGTCGAGAGTCGCACGTGAAGCAGGACGGCTCTGAAGAGATGTCGGTAAATTAAAGGCGAATTCTGTTCCTTCTCCCAAATGCCATCCCACTGACGTCGCTCTCGGAGGGCGAAAAACAACTCCGTCCTCGGAAGGTAGGGATTCATGTTATACATCCACGTCACGATAGCTGTTCTGACGGTTTCAAGATTCCGTTCTTCGATTCATGCCTTCATCGTACACCCAAAGTTTGCTGCTTCAATCCACGATCCATACCTCGTAGCCCGTGATCAACATCTCACCACTCCATTCACCAGAGGCCTCCCACCTTCACTTTGTCTCTCTCCGTTGCCAGGATCCTGCGTTGAGTCCCGCCCCGCACCCTCGATAGTCCAGTCTGTAACCCCACCCTTCCAGTCACTGATCCTGCCGTCTCGGATCTCCACCACCACAACTCTCACATCCTCATCCTCGATATAGCTCCCTCTCCCCCCGTCTCCTGGTGCATTGTTTGAACTTTGCCTGCCACATAGATCATTAGCAACCACATCGTGCACTTTCTTGAAACGATCCGACTCACCGACTCAATGCAAGCCTGCCTCCATCCTCCTCCTCAAAAGTATTCTCCGCCAAGTGTCTCTCCTTACACCATTTCTCTTCCTCACTGCCCTTTTCTAGTACCCTCGCGGATCCATTGATCGTGGCGGATATGGATGACACGGCTGCACTGTTCATTTGCATGAGCWTTTGCGCCAGACTGCTCCTCGGACCACTCGCGGGACTTCGTTCTCGATCTGCTCCGGAGGCGGCGTTGGTGGGCGGTCGAGAGCTGACCCAGTCGTGGACAAGGAGTGACACGTTGGGGTTGCTTGTTAGGTTGTTGGTTTTCTTAGAGCGAGGATCGGAGGTCATGATGATGACGGGTCCGGAGGGAAGGGAGGAGCCTTGGGGAAATGAATTGGGAGGAAAGTAAGAGAAGTGCTAAGGAAACGATATCTGTTAGCTGAGGACATGCGTTTGGTAGGGGGGACTGTACGGACCATGAGCGATACGTGGGGCACATTGCCAGTACAGGTTGCGAGGTGGAGGAAACGGGCATTCTTGAGGCAGGTCACCACCTCTTCGGGCAGCCGATTCGATGGAACCGCCATTGCTGATGATGKTTGTGTGTAGGTGTGGGTGTGTGTGTGTCTTGTGTTGTGCTGGATTTGTCCAATAGGGTGCTTGATCGACGGTCAGTGAAGCAATTCCTCCATCGCAGCTTCCATCTAGACTAGAGATCGTCATTGCGGGGCCGTGCCGCTCTACATACGGTTAGCGGGTATCTAAACATGGAAGAGGCGCGATTGCGTACCTCCTACCTACACGTCCTCCTCTGCGTTGCCGTGTGTGGCTGAGACGGCACAAGGTTGCTTGAGATTTTTTAGAAGCCAGGTTGACAGCGACATCCCCGTCATTCATCGACCGTTCATTGCATCCCCTCCAACCATCATGGCGGAGCCTCGAGACGATTCGGCCCCGGGAAGCCCCATGAGCAGCTCAGGCCCCAACGGCATMAACAACGGCGCAAACGTCACCAACAATGGCAATTCCACGACGAATGGCAACAGTAACCCAAGAACAGATGAGGTCCTCTCCAGCCAAATCGCCGTCACCACTCTGCTGGATCGTCTCAAGCAGAGTATCGCCTCGGCCCGTGACTTTGCCCAGTTTCTCAAAAAACGTTCGAACTTGGAGGAAGAGCAGGCCAAAGGGCTCAAGCGCTTGGCGCAAGCGCAGATAGACAATATCAAACGCAGTGATGTCCGTGGAGGGACGTATGCGCAGCAGCTGGCAGAGGTGCTACGCGTGCACGAGCGCATGGCGGACAATGGCATGCAATTCGCCCTCTCCCTCCACCAAATGCACGAGGATCTTGACGTATTGTCGGCGAACATGGAACGCGGTCGCAAGCAGTGGAAGCACGACGGTCTTGATGCGGAGAAGAAGGCCAGCGATGCGGAAACTGCAATGCAAAAGGCAAAGGCCAAATACGATTCCCTGGCCGAGGACTATGATCGCGCCCGGACAGGAGATTCCAAGGGCAGTCGGAGGATCGGGCTCAAGGGACCCAAGAGTGCTGAGCAGCACGAGCAGGACCTGCTGAAGAAGACACAAGCTGCCGACGAGGATTATCAAGAAAAGGTCCGCACGGCCAAGTCGCAGAGGGAACAACTGTTACGCGACTTGCGGCCCAAGGCCGTGAGAGCACTGCAGGAGTTGATCAACGAATCTGACAGTGCCTTGACGCTGCAGTTGCAGAAGTTTGGTAGGCGTTATCTTACCTGAGTTTCTATCTGCACTTTGCTAACATTCCTAGCCACTTTCAACGAGAAGCTGCTCCTTGGGAATGGCCTGGCCGTCACTCCACTGGGCGACAACGCCGGAACAGTCGGCCAGCGTAGTCTGAGGGATCTGGTCGTTGATATCGACAACAATCGCGACTTTCACAGCTATGTCGGCAGCTTCTCAGGAAAAGTGGTCAGACCGAGTGAGATTCGGTACGAGCAGCACCCGACGCTGGCGCCTAAGACGCAGCAGCCGCGACAGCCGCCAGCTCAGCAGCAACAATCAGCACAATCTCCCCTTGGTCAAAATCCACCGACGAGAGATGGCGAACCACCGAACCCTTCTAACCTCACTGTGCACACTGGTCCTTCACAGCCTAATTCTACCAATAGTAGAACTGGAGGATACAAGGCGTATAGCCCCACAGGCGAGTCGGCTCGATCGAAATGCTGTAAAGATGGAGAGCTAATGTTTTGCCCAGACAATCCCTCAGCATCAGCCCACTCGCAGGCGCCAGCAATGTCACCAGTGTCATCCCCCTATTCCCCCAGCCAACCACAAACTTCTCTACCTCTCCGCGACAATTACTCCGCCGCACCTCCTTATCCATCTCACCCCTCTGAGCGCGCCGTGGATACCCATCAACAGACCACTGGCACCATCCCGATTACCCACAACCCGATTCCTGCACAAACATCACCGGCTGCCTCTTCCCTACATCGTGTCTTTGGCCTGTCTCTTGACACCCTGTTCGCCCGCGACCAATCTGCCGTACCCATGATCGTTTTCCAATGCATGCAAGCGATCGATCTCTTCGGCCTCGAAATTGAAGGTATCTACCGCCAGTCCGGCACCACCTCCCAAGTCAACCGCCTCCGCCAGGCCTTTGACAGCCTCCCCCCGAATCACCCCAGTCTAGACTTTCGGAATCCGTCAAATTTCGGCCACGATGTGAATAGTGTTGCATCGCTGCTCAAGCAATTTTTCAGGGAACTTCCAGATCCTCTCTTCACTCGTGCGCAATACGACCAATTCATCGACGCGGCGCGGAATGATGATGTTGGAATGAGAAGGGATGCGTTGCATCAGGGCATCAATGATCTCCCAGATCCGAATTATGCGACGCTGAGGGCGTTGGTGTTGCATTTGGGGAGGGTACTGGGTAATGAGAGAGTTACGAGGATGGGCAGCGCGCAGTTGGCCGTTTGCTTCGCTCCGACTTTGATGGGTGGGCAGATTGGAGGGAATGTGGGAGACGGTAGCCTGCAGTGCAGGGTCGTGGAGACGATCTTGGGTAATGCGAGTGCCATTTTTGATGAGGATTGAGTGATTGAGGAAACGATTGCAACGAGGTTGGGTAGTATTGACATTAGCGACGGAGGGAGGAGTGGGGAACAGCACCTTTCATGTCGGTGGTACCTTAGGCCTTAATCTTCATCCTTTACACCCTAACGTGAGACCGCATGCGATGAGCTAGTGCTCGTCACGAGTAGGTAACTATATCTTCATAGCAATTCGATAATCGTGGTTCATATGCGATTTTTCGGTCTACCGCAGCACCGATACCGCTCGAAAGGGTTTAGCGTGGCACGCTAGTGAGGATCTCTCTCAAGGAAGATTCGTGCATGCATCAAAACGTCGCCTCCGTCCTGACATCCATCCTTTCCAATGCCTCCTCGAATACAACCTCATCGTCTTTCCACCCCCTCATCATGCCAATGCTTCCGGACCAGACCGCAAGGTCTACTGGAGGCGGCGGCGCCCCTTGCACAACAGACTCGACAATTCCACAGACGCGACCCGCAAATACAAAAGCGCCTTCGACGTAACATGTGGGAATGGCTCAACGGGCCAGGAAAAGTGTTCAAAGAGCCCATGAAGGGCAGTACCAATTACCTCAGCGCATACGACCGTCAAGGAAATCTCATCCGCGGCAGACCGCAGCGCGATGGAAGCCGGTCCGAGCAAGAGTCCCCACCAGAAGCTACATCAGTAGCTGATGAGTCTGCAATTGTGCAGGAGGAGATTGATCGTGGAGTCAGCGAGGCGGATCGCGAGAGCAATGCCGCAAAGCGTGAGGCAGCACGTCTGCGCAGGAGCGAGTATGATGCTCGAGGTGGCCTGCCAAAGGAGCGTCCGAGTGATATGCGACCCTACCCTCTCAACCAGGACTTCCGGTCCGAAAGCGTTTTGAGTGAAGATCTGCGGGAAGAGCTTCATCGTCAGGTTGTTGAGCGAGGCGTGGACATCTCAACTGTCAGTGCCGCGTTTGGCGTCGACACCAGACGTGTAGCCGCTGTGGTCCGTCTGAAGACAGTGGAGAAGCAGTGGGTTGAACAGGTGAGTTGCTGACATCTACCCCTCCGTCCTCCCGACTTCCCCATTCAATGATGATTTTATTCAAATCGATTAGTCTTTAAGACAATATACATGGTTACAAAAACATAGCATGCGAGCCTCTCTGATCATGAAACCCACTCTGCCGTCCTCTACATGACAACACACCGAGGATGATGGCTGACATACAATCGCAATATAGGGCAAGCCACTGGCCAAACCGTACCAAGAGGCTGTGCTGGCTATGCTGCCACAGACGCCGTTTACACCAAACGATCCAAACAACAAGATCCATCCGCATGAAAGTGTCAATGATCTACCCGTCCATCCCAGGACACGTCAGCAACTCTTCTACCCCACCTCGGAGTCTCGACAATTCACCCGTGAAGACGCCGCGAAGGCTTTCCACCCGGATCTTCTCCCTGCTGACAAGCGTATCCCTCACCCGGAGCTGATTACGTTGGAGAAGGAGCACTTGGCTGGCATTCCCCGTGAGGAGCGATTTGCAAACCAGCAAGCTCGCGATCTGCAGGCGAAGCAGGCCGCGGTTGAAGCCGCGGAACGGCAGCGCAAGTGGGAGGAGCGCACACTGCGAGTCATTCCTACACGGAGATGGGACTTTAAGTTCCAAGACATCAGTGCTGAGAAGACGGGCAAGACTGGACGGTCGAGAAGTGCGGTCGGTATCAGGTACGGAATGCCGCACAATGACCGGCAGAGTGGGCGAGTCAAGATTCCCACCAGTGTGGAGTAGCGATGGACGTGGAGTGATGAGATGTTGTATACCACATGTAGCATAACCAAGTGATGGTGCTGAGAAGCATCGATTTGTACAATTGAACTCTTTTCATTCGCTTGTCTGTGTCTGGTGCGTGTGATGCAAAACTTGTCACCATGTGTCTGTGGATGTTGATGTTGATGATAAGGCCTTATATACTTCGCTTCATCTTACGGTAAGATAGATACAGGCCTGTATCCATCTTGGTATGAATGCCGCATTATTGCATCTTAGACGTCTTACCGATATTTAGCGCACAGTTGTATCTCTACCGGCCTGGCACGCTTCTCGTTACACCTCATTTCATCTATAGTGCGTGCTGTACTGAAAGATAGAGTTGAAAGCGAGCAAAGGGCGAAGAACGCTCGCTTTCGAAAGAGACCTACCTACGCATCTTTCGATCAAGTCACTCACTTGAAGGTATTCAGAAAACGCGCTAATCGACATAGGCATCTCACGTAAAAAGAAAGTGCATCTTAAGGTACGATAAGATGAGGCGAAGTTCTCAAGGCCTGATGAAGCTTGATGGCTCTCCTTGCCTGCTCCCATTGGTGTGCATCGACGACAAGTCTCGCGAACGGATATCTGAGTCATCTACAAGCACTCTTGTCGTTGTTGGCAACATTTGATTTTACCGGGCGTTCGCCAAAATATGGTGTTTCTAAACTACCTGTACATGTAAGATGGAAGGTATGCTAGCTTTCGGCGGGGCTGACCTCACCTTTCACCCTCCACGGCACTTTTCCCGCAGTTTCGGTGAATACCGACCACATTTTGCAACCTCACCTTCCCGTCCTCTTGGGCCTGGCTCCCCACGCCCACACTCCCCAAACACATTCCCCCCGGGAATTTTCAAAGATGGCCTTTCTTTTCTATCTCCTCACGGCCACAACGGTCCTCACCCTCTCGATCAACGCCTTCGTCTTCCTCGGCTCCGCTCTCGGAATTCCCGCCTTGACCTTCTACGCCCGCAGTCTCGCCTCCATCATCGCCATGCTGCTCGCTGCAGGCTACGGCGTCTTTGCAAGCGCTGCCCTCTCCCTCTTCGGCAAAGGAGGAATGGGACAATGGACTACGGGAAGAGCATTCAAATGGCTCATGCTCCTCTTCACGGGCGTGTGGTTTGACGTGCAAGATCCCGAGGAATACCTGTCTAAGACTCGCCCCGCGGTATTTGTAGGGAATCATCAGACGGAATTGGATGTTCTCATGCTCGGACACATTTTCCCGCGATGGTGCAGTGTGACGGCGAAGAAGAGTTTGAGCAAAGTCCCGGTGCTGGGGTGGTTCATGTTGTTGAGCAAGACGGTTTTTATTGAGCGGAAAAGCAGGGAGCAGGCGTTGCAGGCTTTTGACAACGCTGCGAAACAAATGAGGGAGGAGAGGCAGAGTGTCTTTATCTTCCCCGAGGGCACGAGGAGCTATTATGATAAGCCGGATATGCTGGCGTTTAAGAAGGGGGCGTTTCATCTGGCTGTGCAGGCGCAGGTGCCGATTGTGCCTGTTGTTGTGGCGAATTACTCCGAGGTGATGGATTTTAAGAGGAAGTTGTTCGTTCCGGGAAGCGTGCCGGTGAGGGTTTTGAAGCCGATTCCGACAAAGGGCAAGACGAAGGAGGATGTGGATGATCTATTGAAAGAGGTCAGGGAAGTCATGTTGGCGGCGCTCGTGGAGATCACCGAAGTGGCGAGGAGGGAAGGAGTTGCGAAGAAGCAACAGGATGTTGGGAATGGAAAAGCAGTCACCCCGGGAAGCAATTTTGCTGGGAAGGCTATGAATGCTGCAGCTTGAGAGGAGCAAGAATGAGGCACGAGACATGGGAAAGATTTGTGAATGATAACACTCTACATGACCTACGAGTTTGATGCGTGGGCCATTACGATGCGGGAGCTGTCTGCTAGCTGATGCGATGCGAGATACCCAGAGGCGTACGGCGTTCTTGCAGCATCCAGATCACAAGCGGGACGGCCATCTAAAGCATTTGAAATGCTCATATTCGGGAGGGAGGACCGCGCCGCATGTAGGATCGAGGAGAATGAACATCTTACTACTTGCCGCCCCCWTCGTCTCTATTCCACTTGAGGAGTCCAATGTCTTTTATTGCGGACTAGATGAACACTCCGAGCAGGTGACATCTTGCACTGCGTGCCTGGGAGCTAGGCGCAGAAGACGTTAATTCGGACCATCAAGAAGCGTCTTTGATGCAGTCGGTACTCTTCACTCCTCAACACCACAAAGCTCTCCGACGCCTTGCCGGCAATTCATTCGCACATGTTTCTTTCGTGCAGTCTGGATCTCGTTGATCAAATGCCAGAGGCTTCCATCTCCTTCAGCATTGCCACCGCCGCGTTGCGCTTGCCAATGAGACCGCCGCTTCTGTTCGTGTCTTTGCAATGCGGGCAGATCACGTCTTGGCCCACAGAAGTCAATTGCCCCGACAATTTGATGAACTTTCCACACGAGTTGAAGTTGTTGCACGTGTACCAGCCAACGGGAATTRGCTTGGAGAACGTGGTCTTGGGCACCATGGCCATACCCACACACAACTCCAGACCAAGCTCCGCGACCTCACTGACCACTTCCCGAAGCTTCTTCCCACACTCTTCTGTGAATAGCACTGTAGAGTGCTCACGGATGATGTCCACCAGGCACATGCGCAACGCACTCTTGCTTGAAAGCGCGGAGGTGTAGACACGGTGGATGGCATCGGCGAACTCGGGTGTATTCCAGGCGGCAGTGGCGAGCAAGTCGAAMTTGGCCAGGGCTAGATCTCCAAGACCTGGGATTTGGTACTACCACGCGGAAGTTGTTAGGACTTAGGTCGACAACATCTTTACAGGCCACTTTACCTTATCCGCGAGTGCATACACGAGGACGTTGAAGCTCAAAGGATGGTAGCCGTCTTCCTCCTTGTTGGCGTTATCATCATATTCGGCAGAGTAGAGGTACTGGAGCATAGCGTTCACAATGGTGGGCGAGTCATCCGTCAACGTGATGCATGCTTCCGATGATTCCTATGAGGATATCAGTACCCGCACGTGCCGGAGAATCGCGGTTCCACGCGCGCACCTTGAACATTCCAGCGCAGACCGCTGCGAAGTAAACTGATCTTGACGAGAGGATGTTCCTGTGGACCTTCCACGACCGTCCACCACACCGAACAGTGAAGTCGGAGTAACGCGAATAACCAAAGAGACTGCAACGTGATGGTCAGCTGGAGAATCTTGAAGGACGAGGGAGCAAGGTACCTGCTGATGCTCTCGCACAGCGAATCTCTGCCCACGGTGAGGGCAGAAGAGGGTGTATCCGCCATGATGGCTAATCTGTCGGTGACTGGAGTTCGTCTAAACCCTCCACGAAGCCAAGAGGARAGTGAGAAGGGTGGGATCCGGACTAGCACCAATGGAGACTACCGTACAGGAGTGAATGGCGACTACCCCTCGCCCGAGGCGAAGGCGTAGTTGGGTGCTTCGTACATGAATCTTGTTTGGTGTAAGAAAGGGAGTCAGCGATGCGTAGTAAGCGAGAGCCATGACTTAGTACCTACCTTATTACTTGAGAGGGCAAGTACTGACAATGGTGAGGTCGAGAGATTGTCGTGATTTCAATAGATTGCACATCTCACAGTCAAGCGAATACTGTGAGGCAGGAGTGCCTACAGCCTGGATCGAGAGATCCGTCCAGTCACCCACCGCACCATGGAAGGATACTGCGGCAATCTTCAAGCGGACAGCTTCCATCTCTCCTACAAAGTCCTCTCCAACGATGATCGCGACGACTGGCCAACCGAATGGCCATTGAACTGCGATGCTCTGTTCCCGCTCCAGACTTCTCCCCACGACCAACATTCCTCTAGCAATCACGCAGAGCTGTCGAAATGAGGATTATTTATCGGGACGAGGCATCCTTATTTATCCCTACAATGTCCAAAGGCTTCACTCTCTACAGACTCGACGATTCTAGGCCTGCTAGAAACCTAATGACTAGCAGAGGAGCCCGCAAATCAATCGAGAGAGTAGTTCGGGGCGCTGCTCTTGTTGATGATTTCTCATATCGTCAGCTCTGTAGCAATGTACACTGCATGGATCTCGATTGCAGTCAGAGGGCTCTACATTCTACCGCCGCCACAAAACGAGTCTGCCGCGTGGGAGGTTCTCAGATCGCAAAGCTCTTGCATATGCAGATGACTATACATGCCTGTCACATAGACGTGCTCAGTTACGTGAGAGTCACCCGCCCAGGTGACAATGGAGATGCCACAGATTCTCTGATTTTGGGAACTATTGGCATTGATCAAAACTTCGTTATCATGAGCGATGCTATCCATCATGGTGTAATCTCTAACGATCGCCCGGCGGCCTCTGTGGAATTGTTGAAAAGTATGGCCATGTTCTTCATCACGGGTCTCATACTTCACCGTGGAATAACATATCCACGTCGTCCCCTTTGACGCATTCACGATGCTGTCCATGCCAACACCATCYTTATACGACGTAGGGCTCACGACCCACGCAGCTTCAGATTTTGGCGAATCACCGCGCCCTCCCCGATCCCATATTCTCCTACCGTTCTACCGTCGTCTAGATTCTTGTTGGCCCAACTGAGAACTTGATCTTCAGGCGGAATGCCTTGAATTTCTTGGAGGAGCTCCTTGATGGTGAGCACTATGTCGCCCATTTCGAGGTCGATACTCACGCGCTTGAGCGTTACAGTCTCTACTGTGATCTGAAAGACGCCACGGCGTCTTTTTACGAGCTTTTTCGGCGTACGTTTCTTCCTGGCAAGCACTCTAGCAAGCTCAGAGGCAAACACCGGGATCTTTTCTGCTACTTCTCGAAATCTCTTGCCTCCAAGAGTTTTATTGTAGAGCTCATAGGCACGTGGTACCGCAGCCCTCACGGCGAGAGCTTGCATGTTCTTCTTGTTCTCCGAGTCTGTGGTGTACATCTCTTCGATGGCATTGGCAAAGTCGTCTATGTCCCAGTCCGAGACTTCGAGAACTTGATCGGCGATCTTGGCCTCCGTGAGCTGCGCCAGGGCTGGAATCTCCCACTTATCTGCGATGGTGCGCATGTGGACGCTGAACAGTATGGGTGTGAAACAGCAGCTGGGCTCGGTGTGCCCGTCGTCGAGGGAGGTGTGCGTGGAGGAGTGGCCTGCTTCATAGTCGCCAGTGTAGAGGTAGCGCATCATCTCGTGCACGATACACTGATGGTCCTCCGATAGATTGAGCGATGGCTGTTCGGATATCTTAGCTGTCGATCCACATCAGAAGTCGTCTACCTCGCTTACCTCCCCAGATGGGTCACTAAGTCTTGTCGCGAAGATCTCGGACTGGCCACCAAGGACAACTTTGTGGGCATCCCACGTCTTGTCTGAACACTTGACGGTACAGTCGCTGAAGGCCGGATTTTCGAAGAAGCTGGCGATGGATGAGATCAGCGTCACGCATGCGCCGCTTTTGTGATGGATCATACCTTGAGATACTGTCAAACATGATCTTGGACCATGGCTGGAGGCCGTTGGTCAAGACAGCTTGGGCCATGTCGTCTGATGTGGGCTGGCACGTTGTCTGATGTGGAGGGAGTACAGTAATTATTTTTGAAGTGACAGAGGAAGTTCGTATAATATAGGCARACTACAGACTAGACAGTTCTAGCGTGGCAGAGGAAAATAAAAAGGGAAAGAACGCGTCGTTTGCAAAGGCACACAGAAACGGAAAGAACACCTCGTTCGCAAAGGGAACATCTGGAACTTACTTATCTGCGCGCGAGAGACCCCGAGCGGTCGGCATGGGAATGGAATCATCTACCAGGATCAGACCCTCAGGATCACCCTAAAGTATTTCTAGAAAGTGCGGACGTCGTGTGTAAAGCAAGCGACTTGAGACCCCAATATCAGCAGAGTCGCTCGTCAAGCGCCTAGAAGACACAGTACAGAGCAGACGTGATTGAACTGGTCTCGTGTCGACGGCTCTGCAAACTCAATGTAACTTCAAACACCGGACGTCGATCGTGGCCCCGTCTTCAACGCCATCGTGCCAAACATCGGACGTCAATCTTGGCCCCATCTTCTATGCCATAGTCCCAAGCTTTCCGACCGTTATGTATCCACGATCCTTGGAACTTGAGCAGCAGCAAGCATTCAGCTGAGAGACGCCCAGTGTCTTCAATAAGCTCTTTGATCCTCGAAACCGGATCCCGGGGATCGATGCTCACCACAATGACGCTCCCTTCCAGAAGTCTGACCTTGATGTTCATCTTGGCAAGCGGCCATCTCGTCAGGTTGGGTTGGGGTTGCCCCTTGCTGACTATCCTGGCAGCCAGCTCTGAAGCGAACTGTGGCGTTGCGCCCGCCATCGATCGGAAATATTCGCCTTCGGCTTCCATGTACAACTCATGGATGTTGCGATACGGGGCATCGAGCGCGGTGGATTGCGTGATGGTCTTGCTGTGAGCGGCGGTGGTATACATCTCCTCAACAGCATCCGCAAAGTCCTCGGGGTGGAGTAGTATAGAGTCGCAGTGGATGGAAACTTTACGATTTGCGAGGCACGCCAATTGTGGGATGTCGAACTTGTCCGCGATGGTGTGCATGTGGACATTGAAACAAAGTGGGTGTAAAGCAGCATTTCCTGATGGCATCATTCTCTGCGCACGCATCGCCTGGCGCGAAGTGGTGGCTGTCGTTGTATTCGGCGGTGTAAAAGTATCGAATCATCTCGTGGACGACGCAGCTGTTATCCTCTGGCAGAGTGATGACTGATTCCTGTCCCTCCTGCAATCCTCGATTAGATTTGCAAAGTGAATAGATGGAAGTTTTCCTGCTTACCTTGAACCGACCAGTGCACGCCTTCCGGAAGAAAGCGCTCTGCGAGCACACGACAGCCTTGTGTATGTTCCACACACTACCATCGCACTTGAGAACGAGGTCACTGCACTCTTGGCACCCGAATTGTCTGCGGAAGGCGATCAGTAACAGTGGCATGGAGAGTTACCCAGTCTGTGCATACCCTGCGACAGTGTCGAAGACACGCTGATGGTTGTCCGACATTGCAACGGACCATGTGCTCGCGTAATTTTCCCTCATGATGGAATAAAAGGAAGACGAGAAGTGGATGCTGTGAAATGCGGCTGAATGTTGGGGAGCGGGAGCGCAAGACTAGCCAACTCCGATTCTGAGGGAGTGAGTGAATGAGAGCTTTGAAGAGACTGCTTACATTACAGTGCACCATCATATCAAACCAAAAGATGGTATGTCCTCGAAGAGATTGCAAACATCAAAGCAGAGTCTCGGGGCTATGAAGTTCACAGCTCATATGGGAGGTCAGCATGGGGACAGTCATCCGGAGTCTCCTCCTTCAGCTTGACAGTGTGTGTTGGAATTTCACAACGTTYCTTTGCATCGGAAATTCTCCAGATCCACAGAGTCCCCTCGAACGCCCCAGCGCTCGCCACCCCACAGCGAAAGCAGATATTTTTGGCCATGAGAATGACCTTCGGAGCGAGCAACGGATGCTGTACGCACTTCAGAAGTCGCGGGACGACATCTGAGACAAGCTCACGGTTCCACGGTGTTCAAGAGGCGACACGTGACATCATGCCGCTGTTGTCCAAGTGCTGCCTCTTTCGACTTCTGAGCTCTTCATCATAAACAATAATCGTCCTTGAGCTTTGTTCTTGACACCATCGGTAGGCCGGAGCCTCGAAGCCGGACTGCTACATTGTTCCTCCGTCCATTCACTCTTTCAGTGTTCCGGCCGTTCCTCTGGCTCTCTCCCTTGGTGTCGCGGTGATCCAAGGGACGACCAAGATTCCCCGCTCGACCCACTTTACACCAAGGCAGGGTCCCCTACAGCCTATAAGATGAGTGTTCGAGAAGCTCTCTTCGAAGATCGCAGCATCTCTGAATATGGGTGTCATCATCGCGGCAAGACGGAAACAGGAGGTGCTCTTCGCGGAAGGTCCATTCACGGCGGCCGTGGCCTACTGTCGTCTACCACGTGCAGACCTTGTTTTGTCCTCATAGYAGCACCGTCCATTGGTATTTCAGTTCATGCCACATCCCAAAGCGTGGCATGCCTCCGGAGACTCGCCGCCCTCGGCTACGATATCTGCCAATTGCTTAAGCTTCGACTTCAAGCTTTACGCTAGTTTCGCACGCCACGTGCGACCGGGCCAGATCCATGCAAGCGCATCGGATAAGGCTGATATCTCACCACTCTCACTGGCTTGGAGAGATCATGATGAACTCCAGACTTCATGGACCGGGTCTCACCCAAGCACGCCATAAAGCGTTGAAGAGATTGGCAAAAACCAAGTCAGTGTTTCTGGGTGTATATGATAGCTGTCTGTGCGACATCCGGTAGGTTCCTACACATCCTCTYTCCCCTTGCTTTTTTTGTACAGAATCTCTTTCTTCCAGACTCCATCCCATCATGTCTACTACCGTATGGGAGCAAGAAAAGGAAAGGGGAAAGTCGGTCCCTGTCACGGTTCACAACGTCGATATTGAGGCTWCCGAATCCGACAATGATAGCTCCGTCGACAGCTTCACGGTCCTCGTCGCCGAAGACCATCAACATGACATCTCTCTCCGAACCATGTCCTGGCAGAAAGCAGCTTGGCTCCTCGCTGGAGACCAAGTCTGTCTCGCTATCATGGCTCAATCTTGGTCTCTCTCTGTTCTTGGCTGGGTCCCAGGCATCATCACAATGCTCGTAGCCGGAGCGCTCTTCTGGATTACCTCCATCACAATGCACAAGTTCATCATGAAACATCCACRAATAAGGGATATCTGTGACTTTGGATACTATGCATTCGGGAAGAGCAAGGTGGCATACTGGTTCACAGCATTCATGCTGCTTGCTAACAACATCCTGCTCATTGGCTTCCACATCCTCACTGGTGCCAAGGTCCTCAACACACTCTCCGACCACAGCATGTGCACCGTCGTATTCTCAGTCATTGCAACTGTCATGGGTATCACCATGTCGGTCCCTCGCACGCTCAAGCATGTCTCATTCATGTCCATGTTCTCGGCCGCATGCATGGGAATTGCGATCCTCCTCTTCCTTGTCTTCGCCGGAATCGAGAAGAATCCCCTTTTTGGATACAACGGATCATACCCCGAGGCTGGCGAAGTCATGACCACCGCCTTCCCAGCAAAGGGGACCACATGGGTGGCTTGCATGAACGCCGTCTTGAACATCACATTCCTCTGGGTGCCTCAGATCCTCTTCCCTACCTTCATTTCCGAAATGGAGAAGCCACAGGACTTTCCCAAGGCACTCGCTGTCCTGGCTGGAATCTCCGGGTTCCTATTCATCGTCCCACCGGCCATTGGATATCATTTCCTTGGACAGTATACCACGGCACCAGCGTTTGGAAGCTTGGGCACCGACGTCTACAAAAAGGGCTCTTTCGCCTTCGTCATCGTGCCCACCTTGGTCATTGGTGTCATCTACGCCAACGTCTCTGCAAAGTTCGTCTACAGCCGCATTTGGGGCAAGTCTCGCCACGCACACTCCAACACCGTCATTGGCTGGGCAAGCTGGGTTGGTGTCATGGCAGCAATCTGGCTGGTTGCATTCGTCTTTGCAGAGGTCATCCCTAGCATGGGAGATTTCCTCTCCCTCCTCGGCGCCGCATTCGACTCCTTCTTCGGCTTCATCTTCTTCGCCGTGGCATACTACCAGCTTTACCAGGGCAAGTTTTTCACCAGCCCCCTGCGATCGGTCCTGACGATTGTGCATGTCTTTGTCATGATCTGTGGACTCTTCCTTCTGGGACCAGGACTCTATGCTGCTGTCAAGGCCATCATGGCGGACTACTCCAGTGGTGTCAAGCCTGCGTTTAGCTGCGCGAATGTGTCGATATAGATAAGTGGACGTTCAACGTTTTGGATATTCGGGAATGGAATGGAATGGCGTTTATGTGAGACGTGTTAGCCTGGCAGCGCCGGCATGAAGAAATGATACCCACGCGTGGATTTGATCTAGATCATATATATGAAATAACAGTCTTCAAAGATTCTATTTCCAAGCTTTCAAGGCATCCACGTCGTTGCGGTAGATTCATGTTGACCTGAAGGTATGTTGAGCCGCTTGCCTAGAGGGCAAGGTCCACAGCGTCAGTATATATCATTCTCAATGCACAACATCACCCATTCCTGAGGGCAGCCAGGAAACGGAGATGATACTGCTGGAGCACGGGAATGACGGCTTGCAGGTCTCTTCTGTACGATCTATGCTGCCCATCCAGCGAGTTTGAGTACTGCTGGCGTTACTGCAGGCTCATGGAAAGGCCGGTCACGGTCTGCTACATCAGCCGAATCATCCGGCCTCCTTGGCGTGGCATAAAAGTAACCTTCTTTATCGGCCGGCACAATGTTCATGTTCTGTGAGTAGGATTCAGTAGATTAGACATGTCATATTTGAGCTCTCAACGACACATACCGGCCAGTGAGTGGTTCCTTTGCGTGCCTTGAATATTTCCTTCTTCTTCTCAAGCTCTGGTTCTGACATCCAACTCTTGGGACAATAGCAGACGTATGTCGCAAACCTTGTATGTTCACCAGTAGGTGCAGCATTCCAATGGATAGTCCTACTGTCCCTACCAAACCAATTGTCTGTCAGCCACCGAACAATTCACAACGAGAAGACAAACTCACCACAGAATTAGATCTCCCGCTTCTGCACAAACCTTGACCTCCTCACAACCCCTGTCTCTATACCACTTATCATCGCCCTTTTCGAAATTGTAACCATTCTCTCCAATTCCAGCATCAGCACCCTCTCTGAACCCACCAATTTCTTCAAAATGTTGTTTGTGCAACAAATGGCTTCCCTTAAGAACTACCAGCCCGCCATCATCGGGTCCATTCTTCGCCAAATTTGCAATCCCTTGATAAAGCTCCAATCTCTCTATCGTGCGAGGATTCTGATCTATATGCGGCCAAGGACTTGTCGCCTCAACATCCGTTCTCCCCGATTTGGGGTTCACAGGAAGACTGACATTCATCCCGTCAAAACTTGCAATAAGATCTTCCGTTCCCCAAACGGCGGCAAAAGTGGCGAGAATTCCCGGTTCGGTTCGGATCTTCCATACAAAATCCTCGTGGTTGACCGAGTAGCGATTGTAGAGTCCACGATCTTGACCGTAGGGAAGATGGTCGGCGGTCCAGGTGCTGATATCATTGCGTTTGAAGCCGTGTGGGAAGCTTTCAAGCCAGGACCATGCGGAGGCGATGAAATCATCGCAGGACTTTGGAGGGATTACTTTGGGGACTACGACGTAGCCGTCTCTTTCGAGGTCAATGAGGAATTGAGGTTTGGGAGACATTGTGTGGAAATATATGTTTGATGGCACAGATTTGTAGATGGAGAGGTATTGAGAGGTGGGAAAGATCACTTACAGTGTATGTTGTTGTATCAATGTTGATTTATGTTGTGTGATGGTGGTTGGCCGGAGGTTGGCCGTCCGTGTTGCTGCTGGCACGGGGTGAGATTGTGGGGTGGGGTCTTGAGTTTGAGCCCTGGTTGGTGCAAGATCTTCCTCTCACCACTGACTGCTCTTTCCCGACAACAACTTCGAGGATGTCTAATGTGCTGGAAGGAAGACCATTCTTACTTGTTTCGTGGCAGCGGAACTTGGGACTGGCATGTCTAATAACCGTCTGCCTTTTGCTCGATCAGAAAAAACAGGAGAATATGCGGTCGGTGATGGCGGATGGCAAACGTGTGGAAAACGCGAGCCAATGTAATCCTGCCATGCAAAGACAGTGGGTCAGGCGGTCGTACAAGAATTGCTTGACCTTTACCTGCAGGAGAAGCGGTGTGAGTAGGCAATCCCCAAGCTTTGCCATCCAACAAGCACTTCGATATGAAAATGGCCACAACGGGAGGATCTCAAGAACGTTGATGGAAAGAAACATCAATATCTTGCTTGCATACAGCGAGTACCCATAATGACCACAGATTCCATGCGCCATAGCGTTCCATCTATCAGGTCTCGAGAGTCGTGGACAATGCCGGCTCCATCGAAGCATCTCCCTCTGATCCGTGGTTCTGGTTGAGAATCTTTGCCTTGTCTTGGGCGGCTGCTTGGCCGCATGGAACCGCTTCTTCTCTTGGACACGACGTCTCGGGATTCAGGGTAAGAGTATGGATCATTATATCCGTGAACAACCAGCTGGTAGGTTGACTGATGTTGACCTCGTCGTCTGCACCGTAGACCGTCCCCGAGAATGAGGCCATCATCGAGAACATGAGGAACGAATTTGCATTGAAGCATTGAAGTTGGTGCAGTCATCGTCGTGCTTGCTCAATGGAAGGACTGCTCCATTGTGCCCACTTCGTTCTCTCTCCTTGGCAGCATCACGCGATCATCAGCAGACGTCACTTTGACAGAATGCCTGCGTGATGAAGGATACCCGGTCAGCTACTCAATTTGTCCCAGGTATGGTGTTCTGGTGAGTCATGTTCAATACGCTCAAAGACTTGGTTTGAAAGGATGCGGCGTTCGGCAGTCGCGCCACGTGGCGGTTCTGTGAAGTGAATGAATTGCCAGCACCCAAAATCAAGGCAAACAAGACTTGACAAACTTCAAACTTCATCAGCTGTTCCATCTCAGACAAGCATCACATCCCATCTCCAACACGCATCCTGCCCCATTCCATCAACAAAATCATTGCMCGTATTCCAACACGTGCATTCCAACATGACAAAGTCGCTGAAGAAGTACAAGAGACCGTTGCGCGCGGAGAAGGAATCTGTTCGGGAAGCGGAAACGGCGCCGGTTGAGCAGATGGCGATGCTCACGCTTGCAGTGCCGCCTGCTGCGGCTGAGGTGAAGAAGAAGAGGCAGAGGCAGAGAAAGCGTCGCGTTCCAGACGAGCAGAAGATTGAGATGAGCGAGGATGAGAGTCAAGGTCGTATCGATTCGGGCAACGAATCGAGCGCGTTCACTCTCCAACTACCGGTAGGTCATGCTCATCATCACTCCGCGCTTCTCATCTATTTATTTGAGATCCATATCACTGACGATGTCTAGTCTGCGGCCATTCCGCCAGAGGAGGGCGGCGCGGACCCCGCCACTCCCACATACTCCGCCATCGATGAGCCTGTCGAGGACGAAGGACCGGTCAGTATCTCCTCCACTAGGTTTTAGAATCATCACTCACATCTACATACTAGGCTATCCCACCAGCAACCCAAGAGTTCATGATCAAATGGCTCCCCAAGTGGCACGACTACTGCGTCCAATTCCCACAGCCCGAAGACTTTGATGGCGTCGCTCCTTACTGTTCCGCTGGCATRGACCTCATCCTCGCCTTCACCCGCGACGTCACGGCCTCTCACATCTCCAAGAAGGGCCTACCGTTCGACGTTTCCCCGCCCCATGCATCTCCCTGGGAAGTGGAGTTCAACAACGTCTTCTATCCGGCTGATAAGATCCGCAACTTCATCGATATCAACGTGCGTAGATTCGAGAAGTTTAGGGAGGGTGAGGAGATGGAGGGCAGGATGTGGGTGGATATGGACGTCAAGTATCGGAACAATGTGGATGCGTTGTTGGAGAAGGTGGTGAGGTTTAAGGGTGTTGGGGCTTGGGAGAAGGAGAGTCGGAGAGTCAATGAGATGGTGCGGTATGGTGTGTTTGGAAAGGTCGAGGCTGAAGACGAGTGCAAGTTGGAAGCTTGAGGAACTTCCATCGAGGGCCATTGTACATTGCGTGGCGTTCCGATTGCTCTTACGTGTGCCAATGGCATCACGCTTGCTCGAGACATCAGGGATGGTGTGTGGAAGCAAGCGAAGTACCTAGTTTACAGCGCGGGGAGATGATGCGGAGTTTGAGAGGTCAATGAGGTGTTATTTGGTTGCTGTCCTTGTCCCTATTGTAGATACATTCAAACCTGGCCCGACATGCTTTTAGAAAAATTCCCTCTTTAGCCGTCGACGTGAGGACTGTTGACCAAGACAAGACTTTCTTAAGCAATCTCGAATCATCTTGGGCGCTCGCCCTTTGTAATTCCCATGTTCTGAAGCTGCCAGAAATCTCTCTTCTGACAAATTCGCCCCTTGAGTGATGGAAAGAGCGATTGAGGATAATCGCTTTTTTGATGACTGCTCATGTCGAAATCTCCAATGATACCAGGTAAGGCTCAGCGAGCTAGCATCTCCGTCCCTGGCAGCTCTCTCCATTGCTTGACGGACAGCTTTACAGCTACAGAAGGTCTAGCAGCTCCGGAAATGGCGACCTTGCGAGGGACACCGTAAGCAATGTGGAGAGTGCGATGTTGATGGATGGTCCTTATATCGACGGCTACAGTGTTCTCTAGATGGCATCATGACTGCGGACCTATAGTAGATTTATTCTTCCATGGCTCAAGGATGATTCATCCGTTTGAACGACTTTGAGTAGGGCCGACAGACTATCAATTCGGTAAGCGTCCATCCTTGTGAAGCGGCGTCTTCTCCATGTTACTGGCTCTGCCCTGTTTCATGCGTCTCGCGGCTGTGATCCGACAATTCGGGATAATCTCCAGAGTCAAGTGAATGAAGCTGGTCCCACCCGCACGCGTCACTTCAGCTAGGCGCCAGTTTCATGTCGCCGGCGACTTTCCACCGTTCAAAAACTTCCTCGATACCTCCACTCTTCACGTCCAAACATTCGCGTCACAACATCGCGGACCTCGAATCGGACACCATGAGGCTCCTCTTCCTCCTCTTCGTCCTCGTCTGCAGACCCCTCTTCTTGCAGACAGTTGTCGGCATGGTCATCGGCCAAGACAGCGGGTCGCGCGCTTCCATATCGATTTGCAAAGACACGTATCGCCAAGAAGTCGAGGCCCTACTCTCCCGCGACTCTCTCACCATTACCACCTCCGCGCTCGACGCCGCAAATAAGTTGATCGACTGCATCGCCGACACTTCCAATCACTCCAAGGCTCCGTCCAATGAAGATCTTCTTGATGCCACTCTTGTTCCCCTGGACACCACTGACAGCTACATCGACAATAAAACTGCAGAGGTGGGAAAGGCGTCTGCAGAGTGGATGAAGAGCATTGCCGAGTACAAAGAAAGACTTGCCGAGTACAGAGAAGGACTTGCCGAGCGGAAGAAACAACTTGCCCAGTGGACCAAACAACTTGCCGAGCGGGACGTCGAAGTCAAATCTTATGCCACCCACAATTCCATCCACAACTCTGACTATCACAAGGACATGACCCCATTCAAGAAGCTTCCATCAATCGTTGTCACCCCATTCAAGAAGCTTCCATCAATCGTTGTCAAGCCAACACTGCATGAGACTGATGCCGCCATCTTCATTTCGGATCAAGGACAAGCCTTCCTGCGCAGCAGGGACAACGCTCACCGGGAGCCTGGCGCGCAGACACTGGCGGAATGGTTGGGGTTTCATCAAGAGTATCTCCAAGGCTTTGGTTGCAACTTTGAGGAATATCCATGGGAGGGGATGCTCGAACACCTCGAGCTCGCTGAGGATGGCGGCTTGGATAAGTTGAACAAAGCAGGGCTGAGGGCGCTGGTACGGAGCCAGTTTTGTGACTAGCTCGCCAAATCAGCTCGAGTTTTGGGCAGAGATTTTGGGCTAGTCAAAACGGCATGAGGCTTGCTGGCATTGCGAGCTTGTGGATGAACATGATCCGTGGCAGAAGGACAACCATGAAACGACCTGCAATCTCGGGGTTTGATGGATAGTGGTAGGGAGTATCCAGTAGAAAAGTGAGGATGGCGTCCTTCATTTGACCGCCTGTCTCTCCGCTTTTTCCTTCTTCAGCTTCTCCCTCAATGCCTTTCTCTTCGCCCGTAAGTCTGGTGGAATCTCAATCCCCAGCCTCTTTCTCAAAACATCCACATCCGTCTCCAACTCCTCCTCCCAATAGACACAGATCACCTCCTCGGCCTTCAAGCCATTTCTCACAGCCCACGGTCCATAGACTGAAAAGAACCTCTCCCTCTCCACTCTCTTCAATCTCACAATCGCGGCCAAGGATAACGCCGTCATTGGAAGTAAAGTATTCGCAAACTCAAAGGCCTTAATTGCCAACTCTCCTTCAATGATGACCGGTAGACCAGTAATGGCATGGGTGAAATCATGCGTTTCCCTGTATCGTTGCATGACATATGCCTCTTCTGGGTCATTGATATATCGCACTGAGTCTCTCGTGTCGGGCGTGACGCCTTCTCGATCCAACCACGCAGCATATGCATACCCTACKGTATTTGAGGGAAGCTGTCTCAACTTCTCCAACGACATGGACGATGAAGTTATGCGGGGTTTGTCTCTGAGAATTCTCCGACCCGAAGGAGATTGGAGCATGGCGTTCCGAAGACGGGAGATGAAGTAGGGTTTCGCGGTCGCTTCACCCAATGAGGCGATCAAGTCGTGCCGGTAAGGGTTCTTGAGAGCTCCAAAGGCGGATCCGATAGCGAGGGAGAGGCGTTCGGGGATGTTGAGGGGAACATGGCCGGGATATTTGGGGGAAGGACGGTTCAGGACGGAGAAGGCACGGGCGCGGAGAGAGGGCGGGAGAGCCAGGAGAGGGCGGAGCGGCGACATCGTCCCGTATGTGTTTGTGGATTGGGATGATAGATGCAGGTGAGGTGCTATTCCATCCCAAGCTATACCTAGGTCAGCCCTACCAATCAATCAATATACCGCCCTAACCCTAACTAATGACGGCAATTATTTCATGACGCCGTCGACCTCGCGTGCCGGCAACAAATAAGTCTCCAGCTCGATCTCGTTTTCCGCATTGCAACATGGTATAGACGCCAGTTTACACCGGAACTCTCTCCAAGCTGCCTTCCACACCCCTTCGCATTCCGGTTTCAATACCGAGGCTACTTTTCGCATGGAGACACGGTAACATTGGCCACGGCAGGGCTGCCATACAATCCACCCCCTGCAATCCTGCCCGACAGTTCGGGACGACATCCTTCATGGCATCGCCGACAGCATATAAGCCACTCGTTGGGGGGAAGGAGACAGGAAATGCGCGAGAACGGAAAGAGAGAGGGAAGGATGAGGGGAAGATAGACAGCAACACTTCAGACGAAAGTACAGCGCAGGAAGCCTACGAAGCGACGATCCGCGAATCTCTCTCTCCCATTGATAGACAACACGCTCCCATCCCGAATGTCGAGCGCAGGATCCACATTGTCGGGACGGGCAGCATTGGAAAACTGGTAGCGCATGCTWTGCGGGGAATTCCCGATCCGCCGCCTGTGACCCTCCTCTTCCACCGCTACAAGTTGCTGGAGAAGTGGCGAAGGGGCAAGCAGAGAATCATTGTCCAAGATGGAGAGTTTGAGGTTCCACGGGGCGGTTTCGACTGCGAGTTGCAACCCGTGGGGCAGACGCAGCATGCGGTGGATGTGCCTCATGACACCCCCAACGTCTTTGAGCTGTCTGATGAGACGGGCATCAAGCCGCATGAGGCTGCTCAGATTGTTGCCGAGCAGAGGGCAGAGGATGGAGAGAAGGGAAGCTACACCCCAATCACAAATCCAGAAAAGCCCAACAAGGCGGCCGCTTTCCTCCCGGACGACATCATCCACAATTTGATTGTCTGCACAAAGACGATTAGAACAGTTGTGGCTCTCTCTCGACTCAAGCATCGTTTGAATGCGCAGAGTACCATCTGTTTCCTGCAGAATGGAATGGGCGTAGTCGACGACGTTAACGCTGAGATCTTCCCGGATCCCGCCACTCGACCGAATTACGTGCAGGGAATCATCACCCATGGCGCCAATTCGCCTCCAGAAAAGGCGGAGAGCGATCCATTCTATGTCGTTCATGMAGGACATGGGACAATCGCCCTGGGAATAGTCCCGCGCGAACCCACCACAAAAGAAGAAACTTCACCACCACCTCCTATCCAGGAAGAGAACCCAGAGGAAGAAGACTTCATCCCCGACGCCGCTACCAAATCACCGCCAAAACCAGAAAAGGCACAACTTGGTCATCTCCCCGAACACTACCCTCAGTCAGCTCGGTATCTCATCCGAACACTCACCAGGACCCCAGTCCTTGCAGCCGTAGCCCACACGCCACATGAACTCCTCCAACTGCAATTGGAAAAGCTGGCAGTCAATTCCATCCTCAACCCGCTCACCTCACTGATCGACGCCCGCAACGGCACAATCCTCTACAACCACGAATTAAGGCGTACATTCCGCCTTATGCTCGCCGAAACGTCCCTCATCATCCGCACTCTACCAGAATTGCGTGGTCTCCCCAACACCAACTCCCGTTTCTCAAGCGAGAGGCTGGAAAGATTGGTTGTGGAGGTGGCGAGGAAGACCCAGGATAATATCAGYAGTATGCTGGCTGATGTCAGGGCTGGGAGGAAGACGGAAGTGGGGTATATTAATGGATATATTGTGAAAAGGGGAGAGGAACTGGGAATCAAAGCGGTGGTTAATTACGCTATGATGTGTGCTGTGCAAGGGAAGCGGAGGGTTGTGCAGAGGGAGAGGGAGGGAGAGGTTCCTGTGGTCGGAAAGAGGGATGGATTGAATGTTGATTTGTAGAAACTTTGTATTGGAATTAAAAGTCATGTGTGTGACCGAATGTCGATGAGCTACTGACCGGATGGGGAGTCCCCTCTTGATACATACTTTGTAAATATCTATGACAACACGTCTGGCACGCATGATGGGATACAGGTGCGCTTGTGTACAGGAAAGCTGAAGTAGAAGTATGGTATCATGATGTAGTGTCATTCACCGAGTAATCCTCAGCTACGTATTCTAGCTCATCTCGAGGCGGTCGGCTAGCTTGTTGGCCGTGGACCGTCTATCGTTCCCTCAATGGAAGCCCTGTGCAGCCTGGTATGAGCGAGATGCTCTACCATATCATCCACCTACGGCATCAAACGACCTGGGTCACGCGGGAATAGACTCGCTAACCGCACATTGGGCAATCCCAACCACAGCATGACAATTCTCTCCAATCCAATTCCACCACCAGCATGCGGCGGGCATCCATAGCGGAAGGCGTTGACGTAATCCTTCAGACCATCGCTTGATGGGTCGACGGGAGTGAGATGCTCCCGCATACGCTTTTCCAGGTACTGCGCGTTGTGGATACGCTGTGCGCCGGACATGATCTCCTGTCCTCGCATGAAGAAATCGTACGAGTTGGAGTAGCCCTCGTTCTTGCTCACGCATTCGGCACCGGGATCGGCAGGCATGGTATAGAAGGGTCGGATTGCGAGCGGGAACTTGTCGAGGACGTAGAAGTCGGTGCCATACTTCTCCAGCACCAGCGCTCCGAGCTTCTTTTCTTGTGGCGTGCTGAGATCATCGAAGTCGTTGAGCTCCTCACCGGCTGCCCGAAGCATCTCGATTCCTTCCTTAAAGTGGAGTCGTGGGACTTTGCCGGGTGGTGGAAGCTTGAACTCCTCCACGCGGTACACCGTACGAACGAGCTCGGTCTCCTTGCGGTAACGCTCGCGGAGGCCGTTGAAGATGAACAGCATGAGCTCCTCGAGTAGAGAGACAACCTCATGATAGTCCTCCTCAAATGCCATTTCCAGATCCAGACCAGTGAACTCGGTTAAATGTCTCGCGGTATTGGAGTTTTCGGCGCGGAAGATGGGTCCAATTTCCATTACTCGCTCGAACCGAGCTGCGATCATCATCTGCTTGTAGAGTTGTGGTGATTGAGCGAGGTAGGCCTTTTCGTTGAAGTACTTGATCTCAAAGACGGAAGAGCCACCCTCAGTTGCAGCGCCCAACATGCGCGGGCTGTTCATGCCGATGAAGCCTCTCGCGGCAAGGAATTCGGTGAAGAGACTCTGCACACCATACTTGATGATGAAGATGGCGTGGTTGAGATTGGCTTTGAGGTCGATGGTGCGGTTGTTGAGACGGGTGTTCAAGCTGACGATTGCCTTTCCATCCGAGGAGGTGGCATTATCCTCGCCCTCAGCTGGAATGCGGCCTTCAGCATCGGCGACCTGGAGGGGGAGTTTTGCGTCCGCACGGCAGAGGATGTAGAGCTTGGTGATGTGAACTTCGAGATGAGAGACAGTGGTGGACGTAACGGGCTCCTTGGGTTTCTTCAGCACGCCGTGCACAATGACCTCGCTCTCTGTGGGGATGCCGCCTGCGAACTTGACCATGTTACGGGAAAGGGTATCGGAAGCGGCCACCACAGCTTGGATGGTATCTCCAGCTTGGGAGAGACTGAGGAAGGAGAGGGTCGCCGCCTGTTTGCGGGCATTGTCCACTGTCGCGCGGAAGACGACGGCGGGAGCAGCGTCATCGGCCAGGTCCTGGTGTGTCTTTGCCAAATCGGCCAGTTTCTCGTGCTTGACGCCTGTGGCTTTGCGGACCATGGGCAGCTCGCCGTAGTCGTCCTTGCTGACATCGTTGGCGTCGGCTTCCTTCTTTCGCGCCGCCTCTTCGGCGTCCAGTCGTGCCTTTTTCTCCGCCTTTGCCTTTTMCTTCTCCAGCTTCTTCAATGCGCCCTTGGAAAGCTTCTCGCCGCCCTCTCCTGCCTCGCCGCCTTCAGTTGTAGTCGCTGGTGGGGCATTCTCCTCCCTTGGACGCTCGGGAATGGCGCTGTCAGCCATGCTTGTAGAGTCCGGTGGGGATGTTGGTGAGGTTGGAAAGTGTCGAGTGATCGGCGGAAACATTTCTAGAGCATAAGGTATGACACACATTGGAAGGTGGGGTTCTGAGAACGAATGGGGCAGGTGAGCCGAGGTGAGTCCGATCTGTAGTGAACCCCACCTCTCCTATAAAAGACTTACTTCTATAACTTGTGGTGCCTGGCCTGGCTCACTTTGCAGACTACCCGGTCTAATCTCTCTCGCTGCATAGGTGATACGCCCTCTTATTTCGATTCTCCCACAGGCTCTCGCTCGTCCGGCGAACAGTCGTTATCTTCAGCCCGCAGTGACCTGGCAGACATCTGGAGTCTAAGGATGGCTAGGTACTCATCATCCAACTAGCAGGTACACTGTCTTCTATGGTTTGATTGGTCGCAGAGCGCCCACTCTCATAGCAATGTTCACCGCCGGTCACGATGTACAAGGACCTCACATCCCAGAGGTATTCAAAGATATGGATGTCGATGCAAACCAGCCAGGAGGCGAACTACGGATAATGAAGCAGCAGGGATTGTCAGACGCCTCACTGCCTCGGCTTTGGATGACCGCGAGACTCTCCGGACGCACCTGCTTCTGCAAGGGGATGTTTTCATGAGTCGATGGAAGAAGCGCAGCCGGGACAAGCGCCGGGAACTGCTGAGCGATGCAAACGCCGAYCTGCCAGACCGTCGCTGTCAAGATTTGTCCACATTGATACGATCCAACAATGCGGCTATGATTGGATGTTGAGCAAAACACCTCCTGCTTTTTGCTCTCATGCCCTACCGAGTAGGGTTCAGCTTGAAGGATTGAGCCTCGTTTGATTTGAAACAGACGCACAACGATCAGGAAATTGGACTTTTCGACGTGAACTTTTCGCCCGGCTGTATCGTCGTTCATGGGCCCTCGCTAAGGGTCTCTGTTCTCTTCGGCAAATGTACGGGCCAGTGGCTAATATCTGCTGGCTACATCGTCCATGGCTACGACGTGCTGGCCGCGGTAGGTCTCTCCTTGGCTACATCGACTGCCAAGACGAAGATTTCCTCTTCGAGTAAGTATTCTTGAGTGAAGCTGTTTCAAAGTCTCTTGCACAAGATGTTGTGGCTGGCTCGTGCCGGAGTTTCAGGGCTATGAAGCGTTTTGACCCACAGTGTAGAGAGCTCAGCTTGATCCACTTTGAAAAGTCATGCATATGTGCAAAGGCGCCGGGTATGGGGACTGGAGCCACTTTTTGCTCTTGCAGGCAAAATTTATGAGGCGGGGTAGTTTTGGTAAAGGCGGGCGACAGTTGAAGAAACCATGATGTGCCAGGCACGGAGCTGGGGGACCAGATGGCGAAACCGATTGGTTTGATGAATCTTGATGTCAGATGGCATGAGAATGACAGCGTTCGAAGGGGCTTCATTGTGGGCTATGACGTAGGAGTCTGGAAACTTCTGCTAGCTCGATGCGTGCAGTCTGTATAGACGAGTCCTTCGTTCTGCCCAGAACTTCGCTCACCGAGCGATATGTTACATGTTCCGTTGACTGGGTCATCGTTGAGGCTCATCGCCGGACTGCAGAATGACGGGGGAGAGGTGTTGAAGGTTAAGGTTCGGCACTTCTGCTAGGAGATATTCCCCGGAGCTGTCAACCTGGATCTTCGCAAGCATGCGGCTTATAGCAACCACATTCATGCAGAGTCTGCACCAACTCTTCCCTTACACAGCATAATCAAGATGTCTTTCCACTTTCCATCCGTACCAGTTGACTGCAATGTCGATTTTGATTCGAGCGCGTTGGCAGGCAAAACGGCAGTTGTGACTGGAGGTGAGAGTGGACAAGCTATACCATGATTCGCTGGCCGTGTCTAACATGCTATAGGCGCGTCTGGGCTCGGTTTGGCATTCGTCAAAGCCTTGGTCAAGGCAGGGTTTGCCTCTCTTTCAATGGCAAATCGTGGTGGGTATGAACTGATTGATTGACAGTGTCTCGGTATGCTTTGGGGATCTCAACGCTTCAGAAGGGCAGAAGCTGGAGAAGGAGTTGCCCAAGTAATTCCCATATCGCGAGTGCTCGTCAGGACACTATACTGACAGCTTGCAGCACCAAGTTTGTTCAGTGTGATGTAACAAAGTGGGACGACCAAGTCCGCTTGTTCGCGGCTGCAGCGGCTTTTTCACCTTCGAAGAAAATCCATTTCGTCGTGCCAAACGCTGGGATATCCACAACAGATGACGTCTTTTCATATGAAGGTATGGCGTGTCGGACGAAAATGCGACCCACTTGGCTAATGTGCTGTGATTCTAGCTATTGATGCCGGCCCATCAAAGCCGGATCTTAAGGCAATCGACGTCAATCTGGTTGCGGTGATGTACTCGGCGAAGCTTGCATTCCATTATTTCGTGAAGCAAAACGGAACCGAGGCGGCCCCAACGCCTATAGACACTTGCTTGGTCCTGATTGGATCTGTCGCTGCGTTCTTGGACGTTCCTCGATGTCCAGTATACTCTGCTACGAAGTGGGCTCAGCGTGGCATCATGCATGCCCTCCGACGAACAACGTATCATTACGGATCCCGCGTCAACACGATTTGTCCCTGGTATGTGGCTTGAAATCATCGTTGGCAATGCTGTTCTGACATGTCTGGGAAAGGGCCATCCGAACCAACATTCTTCCCAAAGAAATGTTCGATCGAGTGGAAGGCTTGGGTGTGGCGCTTGCCGAGGCAGACGATGCTGGACAATGTCTGTTGCGGATTCTGAGCGATCGACAGATCAACGGTCGTTCGTTGTTTGTCTCTCCTCGGAAATGGGCTCCTCGGGGCTATTTGGATCTGGATATGGAGGGCTTGCCGAGTGCGTTGACAGAGGAGATTCAGGAGGAACAGGTGAAGTTCGGCCCGCCATCATTGGGACTCTTCCTAGGTTAGACCCATCGGGTATAGATGGACCCCTGGAAGTTCGGGTCAGTCGCCCTCGGATCATTGAAATGGTTTGTTTTACGACTCGGCAGTGAGCTCTGAAGTCAAGATTGGCATTCTGTCGATCGATATTACTATCCTGTCGTAACCAATGCAAGTCACAAGACGATGTTGGGAGGTAGCGATGGACATCTCCAATGTATTGCGTAGAACTCCGGGCCCCACTTCTTCGAATTCAGTCTGGTGAGCACACCCCTCTTGTTCCCGGTCGGGACCTTCAATCTTTCGCGGTACATTTCAATAACTCGATGCTCTTTGGTTGTGAGCTGGAATGCGATCGTGGTATGGATAAGGGATGGTACCTTGGGCTCGACTCCCGTCACCTCAGTTTCTAGAATGGACCCTTGATGCGACCAGCCGTTGCCCGTCGCAACCGCCGCCGTCGCGAATTTGACGCGCTTGACGCGGGGTGGAACAACAATTTTGCCGGCTACGACGACATTGACATCGATACACAAGGTACATGCATATCGCGGTAGAATATTGGGGGACAAGAAGGAGGGCCACAAGAGAGATTGCCTGCAATGTCCACCTACTCCACTCTCGCCGTCGAGATTGACCGACTGACCTCATCGGCCTACCCCTCCCAACTCCGCACCCTTCACGCCGCCGCTGCGAATGCCACCGACGCCGACATTGCTCAATGGGCGGCAGCAAAACCATGTCTGGTGGATGGATTGGCGTGCTGCCTGATGGAGGGATTGCAGCAGTGGGCCTACGTGTTGGACATCATCACCAAATTCTCCCTCAACGCCGCCTGTCGAGATGCATTCCTGCGCAATGAGCCCACCCTCCTGCATAGCGTTGTGGCACATGCCGTCAAGAAAGGAGATAGTCGGTCGAAATATACGCGAGCGAGTGTTGCGCTGCTGTCTCGCCCGCTTCCGGATACCGTCGCTCTCCCCGCCGAGGTGCAGACATTGTTCGTGCAATTGGTCGAGCAGGCGAGCAAGAAGCCATGCGCCCAGACGATTGAACCCGTCTACATCATCCTGACAGGAACGGGAAATCTCCTGCTGGCCATCCTTTCCACCGAAGTCCTTGCCCAATTCGAGGAGAATCTGGTCAACATCCTCCGGCATGCCTCGTCGGGAGCCGCGGATCAGACCCTCTCCTTGTATTGCCTCTCCATCATGGATGTCGTGCTATGCGGCATGGGTCCCGAATTCCGTTTGACTGCCTCCTCCTACAACACCCAGGACTTCCTCGCCAGCACGCCCGTCTCTTCTCRCTGGAAGTCCGAGGCGTTGCAGCAGTTCTTCTCCGGTAACAAGGCCCAGCGTAGCACTCAACTCATTGCTCTACTCGTCCTATCTGCTCTAAGCACCTTGGATCGCCCTTCCTCCCAGATCAAGTCCGTCGTCCTGGCCAATGAGGTCATCACGGCCATTCCACCAGACCTCCGCAAGATCTGGTGTGCTGCGAACAACACCACCATCAGACGCATACAAGAGAAGCTGTGCACCCAAGACTTGGACGCTCAGCTAAAGACTCTTGGATTGCGGTTCATGGGTAAGCTGTGTGAATTCGACTCCCTCCCACATCCGGTGTTGGAGAATCTCGAGACGACGTTCCTTGATCCCACCAGCATGCAGATTGTGCACACCCTCAGCCCACATGTCAACGACTGCGACCTCTTCTCCAGCGTTCTCGCCCACGCTCCTATCAGTCTTCTGCTTCAAAATGCTGTCGACTACGCAATTCGAGCAGATGTGGCGGAGCTCGCTGCAGGACTGGATGCAATCACACGCACTATGCGAGATGCTTTGACTATTATTGAGGACCACAAGATCACAGTCCATCAAGTGCGCGAGATATTGAACGATGAGGACTTTTTACAAAAGCTTCAAGTCCTGCAAGGAACACTCGGCAACAAATGCGGCGACCAGCAGCAAGGTGAAGGCTGGTGCAAGACGGCCTTGCATAGGAAGCGGTCGAACCTCGCCCACCAAATCACCAACCTGTTGCTAAGAGCATCACAGAAGAGCAACATTGGTCCCCAGTCAATGACGCTTTTGTTGGACCTGCATGCGTCTTCTGCGAGGGGTGAAGTAGCATGCGATCATGGAAGGACATCGTGGAGAGACCATCTCAATTTTGGTCAGGCGAATGGTGTGGACGAGTCCGGAGAAGATAGCATGGATTGGAGGGAAGCACTACACACCCACTTTCGTGCTAGAGCAGAAGTGGAACAAGATGCAGTCACGACACTATTTACAAAGGCATGCGCTAGCTTGGAGGCAAGGTGCGAGAATGTTGAGAAGCCACTTCGCGAGGCGAAAGAGAAGTGTCGAGTGTTGGAAGAACACAATCAAGCTTTGCGATCGGCTTTTGCTGAGTTGGAAGCAAAGAATGCAGAAATTGGAGCAGAAATGCACGCTGTTGAGGATGAGCGAGACCAGTACATTCAAGACTTGGAACAGACGAGACATACCAGCGGTGACCTGCTGGAGAGAATTTCAAGACTTGAAGAAACTCTACGAGCATCACAAGAACAAGCTCGGGAAGAATTGCGCGAGATGCAGAGCGCCAGAGAAATGGCCACTCTTGATAATCAAGCTTCGTTGGCGAGGAAAGAAGAGCAGCTCGACGACCTTCAGGACAGATACGAGGAAACAGTTGGAGCGCTTGCGGAGAAGCGAAGACTCATGGCAGACATGGAGATTGACCTGCGTGATTCGCGTGCGAACAAAACCCGATTAGAGGAGCATGCTCGGTCTCATCAAACGGAAGTACAGGAGCTTCAGACCACGCTCGCAGATCTGGAACGTGCGAACAGAGATCTCTCCGCCAAACATTCGCGGCTGGAAAAGGAGCTGAGCTCAGCGACTTCTAACGACACAACTCGTACAGAGCAGCTCAATKCAGTCCGTAATGACCTCCAATCTCTAAAGTCAGAACACGACGGCCTCAGACGGACATACGAAAACTCCACTGCAGAGCTTGAAGCCTGCCGTCAGGATCTCCAACGTCAGAACGAGCAAATGCAGAAGCTGGAGAACTCGCATCGTGAGACTGCGGCGGACTTCCAACGGCAGCTCAAAGAGGCACACTCTCACCACGACTCGCTCTCTGCGGATGTGCAGGCCAAAGAAGCCAAGGCGACGGATCTGCAGAAGCGTGTCGAAAAGTACAAGCGCAAGTGCGAGCTCAAAGACAAACAAATCCAAGATGCGGAGGCCATGAGAGTCAATCTCATGGCTGCCATGGGAATCAGAGGGCCCGASTCTTTAGCGGTCAGATCGAAGACCCAGTCTACGCAGGAGGCTGATGATACAATGATGGATCTTGATGAGGAGAGCGAGTTCCCGCTGGAGGATCTACATACTCAACAGGGAGAGCAGAGACATGAGGAGCCGGAGCCTAAGCGTCCACGGTCTTTTTCGAGGAAATCCATGCCTGATATCATTGCTTCGAGGACCTCTGCTCGGACGAGCACACTTGGTGTTGGACGGCAGAGTTTGGGTGCTGGTAGAGCGGCATTGCAGAGTATATCTGCGAATGGTGGTGGGAGAAAGAGCTTGAATGTTGGGTTTGCAAAGGTTGCGAAGACTCCGAGTAAGAGTGTTACCGTTGTTGCTGAGGAGACGAATGGAGGCGAGGATGAGAGTACTTTTGATGGGAGTGAGCTGTTTGCGGGGACGCAGGCCGAGGGCTACGTTGACCCGGGGTTGGGCAGTGGGTGGCAGTGAGATTGTGTGGTTGCATGGTCGTGTTGGATTTAATGATCAATGTTCCGGCCAAGCAAAGTTGGGTACGTTGCTGACCATTTATGGTTCATCGTACCTGCTCCAACTTGAACCCTATGCTTTCAGATCGCTGGAGGCGATGTCACGAAGTCGAGCAGCATTTAAGCAGAGGTTCAACCTAGCCTCTCTCTTACAATGAAGTTGCACCCTTTGAAGAACTTCATTAAGGTTTCTCCACGACTTATTGGATGGAGTGTTTGTACAGCTGCACGCGGCCGCAGGTCCGCCACCTTTACCGTTACCCCTCACAGCATGCTGAGGCCTTTACGCAGTGGCCATCGAACGAAGATGATATTTCTTGAAAATCACCAGCGACAATGATATTGTCACATCTATGGCTCCCTCGATGTAGCCCCTCTCCATTACGGCGCGTCAATCCGTCGGTGTTGAGAAGACCTACTCCCCCACGATTTCTCGCTTCACGTCGCTGGCAGTCGATATCAATTTCTCGTGTCGCGGGAGGATGTGGTGCTGAAATCCGCGGAGTCGATCTCAAGAACATCAACAAGACTACGGCCGCAACGGTCCGTCAAGCACTTCTCGACCATAATGTCGTCTTCTTCCGAGAGCAAGATCTCACACCAGCGGAATTTCTCTCTTTCGCCTCGTTTTTTGGCAAACCAGTCGAATACCCCTTCGTCTCGGGAATCGATGGCTATCCCGAAGTGATAGAGGTCCTCAAAAAGGAGACGGAGACAGGGGCCAATTTCGGTGGAGTCTGGCATAGCGACACGACTTATCTGCCAGAACCACCCATGGGATCCATCTTGCTCGCTCGAGAAGTTCCTTCTGTTGGCGGTGATACCATGTGGAGTAATCAGTATGCTGCGTATGAGGCTTTATCGTCTGGACTCAAGGAGGTTCTGGGTCAGTTACGTTGCGTGCAGAGTTCGGCGAAAGCAGACGCTTCTAAGACTCGCGAGGATCGAGTCAAGGATTCTGGACGAGGAGCTGAACATATGGAAGCTTTGCATCCTGTGGTGCGGACCCATCCTGAAACGGGAAGAAAGGCGCTGTTTGTGAATGTGGCGCATACTACTAAGTTTGACGGGTGGACTGAGGAGGAGAGTATGCCGTTGTTGAAGTTTTTGTTTGGACATCAGGTGAAGTTGGAATTCACTTGTCGGTTGAGGTGAGTGTTGTGAGTGGGCGATTGAGCTGCGATGTTGATAATGTGCCGTGCTTAGATGGGATCCTGCGATGCTGGTCATGTGGGACAATCGATCCACATTGCACTATCCTTTGAACGATTACCATGGTCAGCGGAGGCGTATGCATCGAATCACACTTGCTGGAGACGTGCCGCGGTAGGGGTTCGGTGTGAGGGTCTTGACAGGAGGTGAAAGCACCGTACATTCTCTCAAAGCTTTCCGAAAATGCTATGGAGATGAACTCACAAGGAGCTGCAGCAAAGATTTCGACCGCTTCTCTTAACTACGGTTGCAAGCCACGAGGCCCGATGGACTCCTCCCAGTATACCAGAAGGTAGCGTCAAGATGGAGAACAAGCATGTCTAGAAATGTATGGGACACACGATGGCAAGTCGTTACCTTTTGCACGCCAAACACGCCGGAGTCTGTTACATAATAGGGGAATCACTTGCGATGCGAACTATACCCATGTGCAATGATATTTCAAAATGCAGCTACCGTAGAGAGAGCCCGAAGCGTCCTACATCTCATGCATGAATTTCCCGGCAAGCTTGGTTTTGGCTCGTTTACTATCCTATGAAGATGTAAGTGAGGGTGCTGGTCGACTAGCAATGTTTTCGGTGAAGGTTTCCCTCCGACCTACAAAGGAATACCTTACCTGCTGCCGCTGCTGCCTCCCTATTACGTAAGACCTTCCAATTGACTTCTTCTGTTTCACTTCACTTCTGGTCAGAAACCAACAAGTACTCAACATCATTCTAATTCAGCATGACATCTATTACCCTCAACACGTTGCCGGCAGACATTCTGCTCCTCATCTCAAAATATCTGGACTCAACAATGCTGTTGAACTTGGCGCTGGTCGACAAGCAAATCTATGCCTCTGCCTGCCAGACGATGTTCCGCTCGATAACGCTGAAAGCTGCAAACCTACGGGCGGAYATCGATACGTGGGGCCATATTCTACTGCGAAACTCGGCCATGGAAGTTGTTCGCCACTTGCGTGTTGATGGCGGACCAGAAGCCGTTGAACACTTCCCATCATCTAAAGACGAAGCCTCGGAGACGGACTTCACGCCATTATTGGCGTTTCTCAACAAGCTGTCTGCCTTGACAAGAATTACTTGGACGTGCGTTTCCCAATTCCCAGAGGCCATCCTAGACGCCATCCACCATCGCTTTCCATCTTGCCAAGTTCACCTGGATAAGCTCCGACTGTATAGTGTTTTCGATACCTCTCTCCACGCGTACGAAGAGCGATTGCTATCATCTCCCAATCTCCATACCGTTCGTTGTGGAATCAATATAGGCCACGACAAGGTCTTTTTGCGAGTGTTGAGTTTAGCCCGCAATATCAAGAACCTCGACCTCAACAATGGCAAAGACTGTGTGGTGCTTCCAAAGGCATATCTTGAAATTCCACAAGACTCACCTTGGTTACTCGCCAAGGGCCCTCCGAGCCATCTTGAAAGTCTGGTTTATCCGGGCTCCCTAGATCTGGTTACATTGACCATGTGGATGAATGCCATAGACACAACCACCCGGCTTCGTAATTTGGTCCTGGAAAACATTTGGGGTCATAAGGCCCGACCTGACTCCTTCGAATACATGCGGCAAATGTGCGACTTCAGAATGCTCGACAAGCTTGATCTACATGTCCCCACAACAAGCAGCGATGTCGATGAGAATGCCTTGGCTGTAGCCGCCCGATCCTTTCTCTGTAGCCTACGGCCACTCTCTACACTCACGCTCTCTGGTGATTTGGATTACACACTGCTGAGACTAGTACTCGAACATCATGGTCAAAAGCTGCGAACTTTGAATCTAAATCCATCAGTAGGAAACATATATCCCGACGGGATTTATCTGAACCGTGTCGCAGGTACCTCCCAAGAACTGTCTCTGCTACTATCGCATTGTCTACTTCTAAAAGAATTATCAATCCCCATCCCACGCACATGCGGTGACAAACATGAGACAGCTATTTATAGCGTAATAGGTTCGCTACCTCGTCTACAAAACGTCCATATCATCCTCGATGCCAGAAACCCAGCCTACTTCGAAGAGCCAGAATTATGGGACGAAGAAGAAATACCCACTGCCACAGATTTCGATAATTGGGACAATGAATTCTTAGGCAACTGGGCGCCTGAGCAAGGGCTTGGGCCACGAAAAGGTTCCACTCGCAAAGCATTCATCAATAGCGCCATCGACGAGATTCTCGTACAGAGGATTTTCGAAATCATCGATGCTGCTAAGCCTGAATGTTCGTTGTCTCTAGAGGAAGTATCTTTCACGGCCCTTCCTGGCGGATACACAGGCGATGGAGTGACGTCTGTTGGTATCGTTGATGTTTGTGACATCATGGCAAAACATTGGATTGTGCGTCGTAATCCTAGGGATGATAAAAGGGACCAAATTGATTGTATGGAATGGTCTGGTGATTTTTCTAGATTTGAGACCCGGGAAGCCAGAAGGGGTATTTCGAGAGATGAAGGATATTTTGAGTGGGATTGCGGATGAATGGGGGACTATTGGGCCGATTTTTAGGAAGTTGTGGCCTTCTGCACGGGAAGGGTATGAGGGTTTTGAAGGATGGGAGGGGGATTGGTATTGGTGAAGAGCTATAACAGATCGAGAGCTCCATCGACATGTCATGCACCCCGCAACACAATAAGCGTGTGCTAGATTACAAAGCTCGTAATACCTGCAGGTGTCAAGGCTTCCAGGCGGTGTGTGCATAGATGTATAGAACGCATTCAATTCGCACGAAACAAAGCACCCATATGACGGCCAACACTGATGGTGAAATCACATACCGTGAAGTATATATACAATTGAGCTGACAAAGGACAACAAAACGACCCTATGGAATACGTCACTCAAGCAGGGGTCAAGTTCCGCAATGGTCCCGTGCAGGGTTTATGTATGAATCGCATMATTTGCCGGCTGACTCGCGGAAGCTTACCGAATGRCGGGATATAAAGTATTCGACTGTTCCAACGAGGACTTACATCACATTTCTATCGTTCTGTCGAAGAAGTTAAAAATGCCTCAGCTAGACGACTATATTAACAAGGACGGAGATCCTTTGATCACGGATACCACAAGATCCATCTTGACGCAGTATAGCAAGATACCAGAGACGGAATTGATCGGTCATATCAGAGGCATTGTGAGGGACAAACTGAGAATAACGGCGTGATCTATATGCTAATCATATATATCGCAGCGTGACAAAGCTTGGGAGGTTTTCAACTATCCTTGCATTGGGTCTTATAATTTCCTGGACTTTAGTATCCGAGACCACGCAATCTATGAAGAGGTGGTGAGACGAGTGAAGGAAGGTGCAACCCTTATTGATCTGGGATGCTGTTTTGGGTGAGTTCTTAAAGGAGGAGGAGTCGATGACCTACATACAGCATAGGAACTGACTTTCCCTTCYTATAGCCAAGATATTCGCAAGTTGATCGTAGATGGCTGTCCAGCCGAGAATCTCTTAGGCACGGAACTCGAACCTGCTTTTATCAATTTCGGCTATGATCTTTTCCGCGATCGAGAAAGTCTCCAAGCCAGCACTTTCAAAACTGGCGACTTCTTCGACTCGGAGACGCCGTACAATCTCCCCGAGCAGTCTTTCGATTTCATGCATTCGGCATCCTTCTTCCACTTGTTCACCTGGGATGAGCAATTGGATGCCTTCTCACGTGGTATTCGACTGTTGAAGCGGAAGCCTGGATGTCTGATTTTCGGTCGACAGGCGATTAGGGACGTTGCTGGACCGTTTGAGGAATTGAAGGTGCGATCTGGGCCAATGTTTATGCATAACGAAGAGTCCTTTCGCAAATTTTTGGGAGATGTGTCGATGAAGACGGGRGTTCAGTTTGATATTGATATTCGTGTTTTGGACAAGGTTGGTCAGAGGGCCATGGGGGTGTGGCAAGATCTGCACTTTGTATTGCGGACTGTGTAGTATGAAGTGGCGTTGCAGTGGCTAGGGTCATTTAAATATAAACACATAGCTTTGGGTGGATTGACAGCAAGATCTGTACTGGACAACTTTTCCCAGCTTCTGTCGTGGTCTATTTGCTGTGGTGGTCTATACCGTTGATATTGTTGTAGCCGACATCGGCGTGCTTATGTCATGGTATGCAAACCACAACGAAGGACGGAGAACACTTTCTTGGTAGTCATCTGCAACGTTTCCGGCGAAATGGAAGACTCCACGACAACGACCACGCCGAGCCGAGCCGGCAAGCCGTCGACTCGCAGCAGGAACCACGAGGACAAATCCGGCAGCACATTCGGGGGACTTSCATCGAAGACGCGGCGCGTGTGTGAGTGAAGGTCGATTGAAAGGTCTCTCTCTGGTCACACGGACAAGCACCCATCAATATCATTGAATCACCAACGGTATACTTTCAAAGGACCCGGCAACTTCCCTGGAAGCCCAGCATATATTTATTTATTTATACCTCACCGCTCGGTATGGACTACTTTGAGCACAACCCGGCGCCGGGACAGCTCAGCCAGCTTTCCACCGACGCCAAGTCCTTCATCGGGCAACACTCGTCGGCATCCCGTCGAGTGGCACTCGTGACCTCAGGCGGCACCACCGTTCCCTTAGAGAATCAAACGGTCCGCTTCATCGACAACTTCTCGGCAGGTACCCGTGGCGCCTGCTCCGCCGAGTACTTTCTCGAAAATGGATATGCCGTCATCTTTCTGCACAGACAATTCTCCCTGCTGCCATACTCTCGCCACTACTCACACTCTACCAATTGCTTTCTCGACTACCTGACCGGGACTGAGGACGGTCCTGTCGTGGTACAGAATGAGTATCAGCAGCAAATGGCCGGGGTGCTGCGAAGGTACCGCAAAGCCAAAAAGGAGAACACGCTCCTGCTTCTCCCTTTCACCACCGTTAATGAATATCTGTGGTATCTCCGCGAATTGGCCATGCAAATGCAGCCACTCGGTGCCGATGCCCTCTTCTATCTTGCCGCCGCAGTGAGCGACTTCTTCGTGCCAGCAGAGCGAATGGTTGAGCACAAGATTCAGAGTTCGGAAGATTTCAACAAACCGAATGGAAGTGCGGGGACGCGAGAAGATCAAGAAAAAGCTCCCGCGGCTCACATGGATGGCGGCTCTCTCATCATCGATCTGGATCCTGTTCCGAAATTCTTGAAACTGCTCGTTGATGAGTGGTCACCGCATGCCATGATAGTCAGCTTCAAGCTCGAGACCGACCCAGCGTTGTTGGGTATAAAAGCTCAGACGGCGTTGGACAAGTACTCGCATCACTTGGTGATTGGAAACTTGCTAAACACTCGGAAATGGGAGGTCTTGTTCGTGAGCAAGCAGGATGGAGAGAAGTGGCTTCGTGTGCCAGAGTCGCAGAGAGTTGGGTCGGGAGGAAAGGGTGGTGTTGGGGAAGTGGAGATTGAGAGCTGGATTGTACCTGAAGTCGCGCGACTGCATGGCATTTTGATCGGCAAGGACGGGATGAACGACAGAGACGATGGGCCGAAGATGAGGCGTTTCTCAACAAGCTGATGTTCGTTAGATATGGTGGAATACGATAGATACTTTTGCTAACTTGTGGACATCTATTGGATTGCATCTATGACAGCTCTTCGAATCACCTCTGAGCCTATGATGTTTCCATTCAATAGAACCTTGAAATACATTCTGCTTCATCAAACATTCCGAAAAAGCATAGACTGCAGCAGTATCCTCATCCCAACTAAACCCAACACTCCCCCCCACTCTACCTATCCTCAATAACCGAAATCTCCTCCGCTCCCTCCTCCCCACGATTCATCAGCATAACAAACCTCCTTAACGGCTCCAAATTCATCTTCTCCTCCACAAGTTCCCCCTCCAGGAGATAAACTTCCTGAAAAGCCAGACTGACCTCCTCAACTTTAGTCCCCAGCGATCTCGCACCCAGTTCTTGCACATAACCCTGCTTCGCCAAAATTTGACAGACTTTCCCATCGTCGTTTACGGTAAGCAGACAGCGGCCGATGAATCTTAAAACAGGYGCTTTGAGATCAATATCTTTACGAACTTGATCATGGAGTTGCAGGAGAAATTTGTGTGCGACGGTGGCTTGTTCTCCGGGACTGAAGGGAAAAAGGGGATGATTGTGTTGATGCGTCCTGTTACTGCTGGCTTGTAGCAACAAAATTCTAGTTAGTGCGGATTTTTTCGATGTTGTTGTTGTTGGGATGATGGGTAGATATATGTAGGTAAGGTACTTACAGAGTAGAGAGTCGTGAAGAGTTTCCGTAGTTCTTGCTGGAGTGATTGAATGGAGATTTTATGGATATCTTCATCTTTCCGACACGCGATATGTTTGGCGTGGAATTTGGAAATTGTTGTGTCGCCTTTATTGGTGGCGAGGATCCAGATGACTTTTCTGCAGTCGATGAGTGTGTTGCTTGCTCTTTCGCGATACTCGCCTGAGGGGGGGAATATTAGCTGACTAGGTTGCTAGCAATATAGTTCCTTTTGTATAAAACTCACCACTATCCATGACTTTCAACAAAGCATCACGCACTTCTTTCTCCGTCTTATCATACTCATCCAGAAATACCACGGTCGTTTTACCCGCACTCTGCGCGAGAAAATTATTCAACGGAGAACCTTTAGCATGATCCGCATAGCCACACGAAGGCTGTCTCCTTCTCAGACCGGGGACAGAGAAAGCGTAGATTACAAATACTTCTCGGATGTTGTATCCGAACCCTATTCCTGCCTTAATTCCTGCCTTACTCTAATCTCTGTCCACCGATCTAAGGAAAATCCGAGCTTTTCGGTTGAAATGCCACTACCAAACATTAACATTAGCGCTATACCGTAAATACACTTTTTTTAACGTTAGAGGCTATAGAGGATAAGATTATAAGTTTATGAATCCACTTTTTATATAAATGCGACGTTGCGTTATTAAGAAATAAATTGTTAATATAGCCTACTCTAAGCCGGCTAGCTATAGACCGCCTTACTATAACTAAGTCGAAATACCGCACTACCCGTATAAACTATATATTACTTCGCTAAGGGTAATTAGCATCGTACGGTTATTGTTTATATAGGGTTTATACCTAGATTACTATTCCTAAAGGCCGATATAGCCTATCTAGGGTAGAGGGCGGCGAGGTCGATATTATAAATCTTTAATATAGATACGCGAGCTGCCTTAGATTAGCCTAATAATTATATCTACTACTAAGCTTTTATCTATACTAGTAAAGGTCGCTATCTTACTAGTATATTTCGGAAATCTATTAAATCTTAGCCTAAAAACGACTAACTCGACGATACTAGCTAGATAAGTAGATATACGGGATTTCTTAATAGCACGTAATTCTTATACTAGTAAGAAGTTTCTAGTATTATATGTTATAGTTTATTGTCGAGTTCGTAATTCTATATACTAGCCGAGCTTAGGGGAGGACTTCTTAATAGCATATAGATCGTATACTAGTAAGAATAATAAGCCTATATCTATTTAGAGCTCGCACGATATCTCCTAGAGTCGTTATATTATCCGTATTATCCTCCGAGCTTCCTATAGGTTCCCGGGAGTAGCGCGTAGCTTAGGCTAGTACATCTTATTAGCATACGATCTATATGCTAGTAAGAAGTCTTCCCCTAAGCTCGGCTAGACTTAGGTAGATAGTCCGTAGCTTATACATTTACTTCCCGCTTCCCGCCCTTTCTAGCGCTATTTTAAAACTACCTATATGCTAGTTTATTCGTTTGTTCTTCTACTTCTATTCTCGTTCGAGTACCGACTATTCCTACGCGTAGTCTATACCTACATAACATCTACTACTATAATACCTACTACTATAATACCTACTACTACCGTAGTAGTAGCTATAGCCGTAGCTATATATATTCTATACTATAGTATCTAGCTTCTCGTTATTAGAGCTATACTCGGAAGATGTTAATATATCTATTTAGACTCCCGCGGTTAACCCTAACCCTAACCCTATAGCTAGCCTAAATAACGCTATAGCAGGTTTAATAAGTAGTAATATACCGTCTTCCGAAGATATCGAAAACGATCGTGCTAAGCGCGCGAAGGAGCGTAGATTCCGCTAGAGGATACTCGAGAAGGCCTACCTCCGCCGCGTAGGGGGTACTATTCTAGAAGAAGATAAAGACGAAGAAGAATAGGACGTCGATAATAATTTATAGATAAGCGATAAGGAGTCTAAGCCCGAAGAAGATATCGAGGAAGAAGATGTCGATAAGGATATCGATAAGAATATCGATAAGGATATCGATAAGGATATCGCGAGGAATGTCGTAGGGAATATCGAGGAGGATCCGGATATACTAATCGACGAGGAGCTCGATAAAGAAGACGTAGTTAGTAGTAGGTAGACGAGAAGGACCTAGGAGTAGAAGTTAAAGGATATTATAACTACTATTAATAAGACCTATATTAAGATCTATATTGAATATTAGTCGGAGGTTCGCGGAATTTTAGAGGTGGAGTACAAGAGTAACTTAATCTTTAACTAGCTTACTGTCTCCGAYAGGCAGTACTTAAAAGTAGGAACTAATGTGTTAATTAAGTTAATTGAGTTAATTGAGTTAATTATCTAGAGATGTGTCTCCATCTCCTAAGAAGAGATTTTACCCCACATAGAGTCACGTGACCTTGTAGCTACTTAGCTCTCTGTTATGTTAGATGTATAGCTATTCTATAACTGCACTTTCTAACACTCCCACTTAGGATAGAATGGACTATATACATTTCCCCAGATCTTTTAAGATTCTATTAAGTGTAGAAAGGTGGTTCTATAGCCTAGTAGTATAATTCTATCTTAGCTACTATCTTAGTGCAATTCCTTAACTTAGTATTATATAATCGAATATATCCGGAGGACATATTCGATTATATGCTTTTGCTAAATTTTGGAATGCTTATTATATGCTAAGATGATTTATATATGTCTAGAAGTTTAGACTAGTAAGAGGTTTAGTTAGGCTATCTGCAACTATTTCTTTTRTTAGAAGGTATTCTATATAGATCTTCTTTTGCTACTAAAGTCTTCTTATAAAGTTGTATATAATGTTAATATACTTTAACCTTTTATAAACATGTGCATCCTTTATAAGGGTGAGGCAGGCTTAGTTGTCCCTAAAGAGTTAAACTAGCCTAAGCTATTTAGCTATGTCCTTTCCTGCTTTAATTGTTAGTTAAAAAGCAGATAATCTAATAAGCTTAGTTTGACCTATTTCTCTAAGCAATGCTAAAAGGAACTATAATTGTTTTGCACATGCATTTATTGCTATAAACTTAGCTTCTATTATAGAAGTTGCTACAGATTTCTGCTTCTTGCTTATCTATAAAATTAGGGCATTACATAACTTAAACACATTTCCTAGGATAGAGATCCTGTCTAACTTGTCTATTACAAAGTCTAAGTCTAAGTACCTAATTAAGCATCTAGATCCAGATCTTATAAAGGTTAATCTAAGGTTAGGAAATAATCTTAGGTACCTTAAGACTTTCTTTAAAGCTTTTAGGTAGGCTTTAGATAGATTACTTAAAAATGCACTTAGCTTTCTAATTGCAAAGGCAATRTCTAGTCTTRTTATAATTATTAGCTACATCTATGTTCTAATTRTTATCTAGTATTCCTCCTTGCTACATCTCTTATTATTTAGGCCTAACTTAACAAGCCCCTTATAATTGTCTATTAGTAAGAGAGTTGGCTTTAAGGATTTTAACTTAATGCCTAGTTTCTAAAGACTTTCCTAAATGTAATAGCTTTAATCTAGTTTTAGGGTTCTAAGCTTCCTGTTTCTTATAATGTTTATTCCTAGGATTCTAGATAGTTCTCTAWGATCCTTAATCTTAAAGATCTTTCYAAATTCCTTCTTAAACTAGTTTATAGAGTTTATTAATAGGGCAGCAATTRGAATATTATTAACATATGTTATAACTATAAGATTCTTTCTATAATAGAACATTAGACATAGGTTAACCTCTAACTAAACAAATCCTAAATCTTTAAGCTTTAAAACATAAAGCTAATTCTAGTCTCTAGCAGCTTGCTTTAATCTATATAGGCTTCTTAGGATTTTTAGAACTTAGCTAGGGGGAAGATCCACTCCTTTAGGTAGGGCTATAAAAATGTCTTYTTAGAGGTAACTATTTRTAAAAGCACTATTAACATCTATAAGATAGAGTTCCTAGTCTTCCTTATAGACTATAGCTATAAATGTTCTTAAGGTTTTATGTCTAATAGTTAGTGCAAAAGTCTCCTTAAAATTAATCCTATATTTCTGTAAAAAACCCCTTGCTATAAGTCTTGCTTTTAACTTATTAAGGGCACTACTTGCTAATCTTTTTATAGCAAAGACCTATTTTAAGGTTATAAGGTTTGATCCTTTTAGAGCAACAGTTAGTTCCTAGGTCTAGTTGCTTRTAAGTGAATCCAGTTCCTTCTAGATTGCTTCTATCTAYATTRCTCCCTATTCTTTATCTCCTACTGCTTCCTTATAGGTAGCTAGAACTAGGATATTCTGCTAGTATGCAGTTTAGGTAGCTGTTGCAGAGAAAGCAAGTTTATAGAAGATGTCTTATATTTCTAGGTCCTAGCCTAGTTCAGAGATTACAGCTAATAGGGCCTATACAATCTCTATTACTTCTCTATTAGGATTCTAATCCTTTAGCCTCTCTTAGCTTATCTCCTAAAGGATTTTTAGTCCTTTAGATTTAGATTTAAATCCTTCTACATTACTTATAGCTTTTCTCTTTCTTTGCTCTACCTAAGGTRGAGAATTAACTTAGTCCTTAATTTTCTGGAATTCCCCTATATTTGCTAGGGGAGGAGGAATCTAAACAAATGCTATAGGGGCTGACTTTTTAGTTATAGGTTCCTAGATTAGAATAGGTTTAGGTCTTAGTATATTAGCTAGCCTTCTAAGTGGTTTTCTCTGTAGTGCATTTAAGGAAAGATGCTTAGATTAAAACTTYAAATCCAAATTACCCCCCCTCTTTTCYTTAAAGAATACYAYATTTAAGTGCTRTTTTAYAGCTCTTATATCTRGATCCTAGAAAAGCYAGGATTTTAATGTTCCTTTAATATATCCTACAAATACTGCATCCTTTCCTCTGTTTATAAGTTTGTTACTCCTTACCTATCTAGGTTAGGATTTTAGGTCTATATACATAATAGCTTAGCACCCCTAAACTCTTAGATAATGTATAGTTAGCTTTATTCCTGTAAATGCTTCTTTAGGTAATAGCTTAAAGCCCTTAACTTTAGGACTATTTAGCAGCCTGTTCCTTATTTTAAACTAGGCTACTAGGGCTTTAGGCTAAAATTCAATTAGCATTCCTAATTCTTTAATTATTGCCCTTACTRCATCTTCTAATGTTTAGATAGATCTTTCTACAACTCTATTCTAAATAGAGTTATATGCATCTGTTATATTAAAGTGGATTCCTAAATCCTTCTCCTACTGTTTTAGTAGACTAGTAAGTTTAGGTGTATTGTCTAA